GTGGAGGCAAACACGTCAGGACGTTCTTTCAAGAGAACCTGTCTCAGCGCAAGACAACAGGTAATTCTTTTTAAGACCATCCAAAAAGGTGTCCAGATAAGAGAAGTCGACGCCAAGTATAACCTACACGTGAGCACGATATAGAGGATCAAGCAGAGGTCAATGAAGATATACCGCCTCTCAAAACAGGACTTCAAGAACTGTAATTTATTATAGAGTTTAGAAATCAGCTTGTTTCAGGGCAACTCAAATTTTCATACGAGGATCAGCTCAAGATTCATCCTTTCGACTGTAAATCTATTTCTGTTAATTGGAAAAATAAATGATAGTGTTCCAAAAATTTGCTAATCAACTTCTATGTAAATATATGTATATATTCTATAAACCCTCTGAGATGTTTAAATGCCATACCAAAATATCGTAGCGGTAGAAAACGTTATTGTGACGAATGGTCTACTTGTATTAACTGTATTTTTACTGATTTTCACGGAGTAAGACATTATCGATTTATTTAAAGGAGTCTCATTAAGGTTCAATAGCATTTCAATTTTTCTTATACGTACTGGTTCACGTCGACATTGCTACGTAAGTGGTTGGCGCGGTGTGCTACACTAGTGGGGAACGAGAAAGTTGTATGCGCTTTTGGAGAGAGAGGATGATATTGATGGATCATGTATATACCTGTGAATGACCGTTGGGACCTCCGTAAGAGCGAGTGATGCCAACGGTCGATGTTTCTCTTTGTCCTGTTCGAAAAACATACGACCCCATGCTGACTATAAATTCAAATTCTGTTCAAGTATTTTCTGTTTAAAATATGGAAAAAATTGATTTACACAAGTAATTATTTCTTACTTTACAATTACTAAAATTATAAATCTGTTTAATGACTTATTGTAGATCGGTACACTAAGCCCTTTAAATATCTTTATAAGAAGAAATCCAGAGGATTCAAGTCTAGATGACAATTTCATATAAGGTGTTAATAAAAATGTAGGATATTTTTATAAGGTAAATTCTACACATGAAATAGTGAAAAAACGTTAGCAATCACGTATATCCTTTGACATTTAGTTTTCTAATTAATCGAAATGTGTAATAATATCTTTAAAAGTTCACAATTCAAGCGCTTATACGAATGCAACCCGTGCTGCATCACTGTCAACTAGGCTGCATATATCTAGAAGACACTCAATATTGTCCCATACTTTCATTGACACCGTGTATATTGAAACGAATGAAAAAAATAATCTAATTTAAACGTGAAATCCCTTGAACCATAACGATGTACGATACTAGTCCCTAACGACTGATTTTCTCGTGTGGAAGGACTTTGATACCAAAGATGGCCGCCAATGCGTCTGGAAAAATCACAAACCGTAGTGATCCCACAAAAGAGAAGGTAATTTATTACGTTACTCGCGTTCTGTTAAGTAGCTCTGACCGGACGAAATATTTATAGCCTACAGTTATTTGACGCCCACTTCTGGTTCGTGTCTAATTTCTTATTTACATTACAATTCAAATGGAAGTGCGTTAACTGAATCGTAATATGCAATAATAATACAAATTTTGATGTGTCATGACCGTATTACGTAATACAAAAGTTGCCATGCAAAACTACAACATGCAGTACTTTTGCAATGGTTTTAATTATTTTCAATCATTTTGTATTCATAATGGTAAGTATGGCGTTTAGACTTTTATAAAAATGTAAAATTCTTTCTCAGTGCAATAATATCCTCCTATATTTACTTTAATTCTACGATCAAACAAAACTAAAATGAAAACTAAAAGCTATATACATATGTATTGTATAACCCGGTATATTAATGTTTTAAGTTAATGTTAAAAATAGTAAAAATAAAAAATATCAGGAAAATAGTAACTTTTTTGCCATTACTGCACCTTGTATGCTATTCACCCGGATCTATCGAATAAAGTAAAACGCGGAACATTTAGTAATCGTACCTGTAATCGATGTTTTGTCGATTGGTCCTGCAGTCAAGTTTCATGTAGATAACTCGTTTTTATGTTTTGCTCGCGGTGGTGGTTTAAAAAAATGGGAACAAGTGAGAGGAATTAAAACGGAGTGTACAACATTTGACTCGTATCTATCATTCAATGAAGAATGTTTAACTCGAGAAACATTTCCTCTTCACCTTTGTCCCTTTCCAACCTGAATTATTTCTTTCAAACAAAAAGATGTTTTTTGCATGTAGTTATTCCTTGGATGTCAAAAAAAAAACAGAAAAACTAAAATAAAAATAAACAAAAAGAATTGATCATAATCAAAAAAACTATTCCTAAATATTATTTTCGAGATTATATCTATCTAACAACAAAAACTAAACTATAGGTTACGATACCATATCGCATCTTCAGGCTCATAGTATGAGTTGAAAATGTTAGATAAGTTAATGATCCCAAATGGAAGCTATGGTCGAAAAAGGTTAATACCGTTAGAGAAACGAAAGTGTAATATATCCTTATACTATGTACATAATATTAAAAAAACATATTTAATATACACTGTATTATTTTTATAACAGCAATGTGGTAAGTGTATTAAAGAAAAATTAATACTAATGTATTGAATAAAATACTTCTGTATTCACAGTGGAAGATTTCGTTCAAGTAAAAATTTACTAAAATCGATGGAATCAAAATATATATGAACAATTTGTATTCAGTTCATTGATTCTGATTATAAGTTAGAATAAAGTTCAATCTCTAAGCCAAAATGCAACCAATCCAATGTTGCATTACTTTCGTATAGTCACCCGGGTAAATGCGTCATTGCGCTTTGCTCTAGAAAGGTCCTGGTTTGTTGAAGCGTGACGACACGTTTGTACAGGTAAGTCACGATTTCAATGTAAATGTCAGCGAACGTGACTAAAACGTATTAATGATAAAGGATCATTGACGTAATAGCGACTTCCGGGACAACTGGATGCAAAAAGTCGATCAAGAAAAGCTTCTGAAAATCTATAAACACACGTTAGAAAGACACTTAATTATTTAAAAGTGAATAATAAACGTAGCAGAAATATGGATCATCGGTACATCTGACAGACATGTTTATTGCAATTTAATTTCGTGTAAATTTCTGACGTTTATTACTGAGAAGCTGACAGTACCAGTCAATCTTCATTTCTGCTAAATTTCTTTGAATTAAAAGAAGTTCAAGTATTTTTATAAAAAAATATATACTAATAATATTTTATTTGTGGTCTTTTTCTTATTGTCAGGACAAAACGAAGTTTTGTGAGAAACCAGCATCCGTGACTTCTTATGGACACGTCCATCTATTTTGTATCACTAATCCAGTGAAGACAGTTGCTCAACCTTTGCATTTATTGCACATGCATTTATTACAAAGTTACAAGACTTCTAGCAGCTTTCTTTTTCAAGCGTGCGCACACCTGTAAATGAACGGAAGTAGATAAAGTGACAAAGGTCAATTGTAAAAATTAATTCACAAGTTTCCTTTCTGTCGAATGTCAGTCATCAAGATAAACTTTTCATTCGAGAACGAAACTAGCCTTTATGTAGTTACGAAAATGTTTGTGTTGATACCTACATATTGGATGCCTCGAGGTGATTCTTCGTAAAAAGATAAGAAAAAAATGTAGAATAAAATTTTTTCATTTACCACTTCATTTTCGAGAAAATCAAATTTGAAAGTCTGCTGAATACGCGTGCAATTGAATAGCACTACATAGGCTATCGTGTCTGTCCATTGCATTCCGTTTCTACTCAGTACCATGACGTTCACAAGCATTTCGGATTAATGTTCAAAGTCAATTTTCTCAAAAACGAAGTCTAAAATGAAAAAAATGTTATTCTATATTTTCGTTTCGTTTTTCACGTAAAATAACCTCGTGCCAGCTTGTACATAACTTTCAGAGGTACCCTGTATAGTAACCACAAAATCGCAAGTTCTTGTAAAGGCGATTCAAACATTATAATAGTGCATTTCACGAGATTTTTCACAACTTTTAAAAAATATTCAAAATAATGAAATTAATTAAGCCTCTAACGGTAAGGTCCGGGTCGTATCCGACCCAAGATGTACTTCCTCTCGTGCTGTTCCCACTCTTTTTTTGTTATTACTTTCTTATTACTTTCGTTTTCAAATATTTTTTATTGTTTAGTAAACGTTTATACTTATATTATTATATGTTACATAACTCAATTATTATTCTTTATTATATAAATAAACAAAACTAAAAGTTTAAAATAATAATAACTTTTTTTCTACCCGTCTGAAAATAGCAAAAAAGAACTCGAATCGGATCTGATCCCATCTTTCCAAGTACGACCTTTTAACCCTTTCAGACCTGAAGGTCACATTTGTGTACATGAAGTTTCTTACAATTTCAATTTTTTCATGTTCTGAATGTTTTTAGTAGGTCTAATGCATTCAAAATTGAATAACAAACCTTTTTTTTTAAATAAAAAACAATTTTTCATACAAAATATGTAAACAATCTACTGAATTAAAATGTGTCCTCAAATATTTGTTTACTCTTAAAAGAAAATTCAGATCTGAAGGGGTTAAAAACCATTCTTCAACCACCTTACCATTCGAGGATTAACGTACAAGTCTCTATCGTTTCGTAAAACTGTCCCTGTTGTCGATCTGATGAAAATAGGTATATGTTAATTGTTGGCAGAGTTGAGCAAAATATAATCGAATTAGAAGATCAAAATTACAATGTAATTGCAAGACAATTACAATTAAATTGTAATTAACTATACTAAATTTACAATAAAAATTACAATGCTACGCGCTGCGATTGGTAGCCAACGTGACCGCGGGAACTCGGCCGGCAGACTCGCGCTCTATTTGGTCAGTATTTTTAGTTAATATCTCGTTAACAAATCCTGAGATAACATTTTGCTAAGGAAAAACTTGTTTCAAATCACCTCACGAGTCTCCCACTTCCGATTCCTCAAAAATAGTTGTTACACCCTGTATATGTCTACGGTACCGATTACCTTTTCATAACCCTCATCCGCCTGAAGTTCTCCAAGCGTCTTTTGTTCCTGCTCGCGTTTGCTTTCGCCTCGGTCGCCGCGGCGCTCGCTTTCGCGGCCGCGCGGTTCGTGTTGGTGAGCTCCTGTCTTGCGAGTTTCAACTGATTCGACAATTCCTCGACCCGTCTCTTCGCGGCGTCCAACAATTCCTCTTTCTCCCGCAAGGTTTTCTGTGCCCCGGCCGCCGCCGCCTGGGCGTTCGCCGCGTTCGCTTTCGCCGTTTGCACCGCGTGTGTCAGCGTCTTTAACTGTATTAGAGTGGACAGAAAAAAAATGGGATATGCAAGGTAATCGACTGTGTTGAAAAAGAACGCGGGGTACAAATTGTTTCGGAGAACTTGTAAGGTCATGACGCGTTACGCACCACAATAATACAGTAATTCATACAGGAAATTGGGCTTTCTTAATGTACGTCTGATAATGGTTCACCCTTTGCTGTTGACGCCACGTACAGTGTGGGGCAAAAGTGTAATTGTGTAAATGAGTAATTGTACTGAGTAACACCTTTTCAATGGGGAAAGCCTTGGTTTAAACTTTTGTCCAATTCGACGTCACAACAATGGCAATCATATAACTGTATTTTAATAATGTTATTAGAAAAGGGAACATTCTTTTGGTTTTTAATTAAGTTTAAAATTTTGAATTTTGTGTTAAGTCAAATACTCTACAGCGCGAAAATTCTTTCTCTGCTTAAAGGGTCAGTTAGAAATATCGTTCGTGGTATGAGAAATACTTTAAGACGGGGTCAATTTATTATTCACAAGGACTTCTTCGTTTTTGGAAATAGGAAAAATTGAATGTGAATGCACAACCATGTAGAGCACTCAGAGACGAATGTATATTGCTTAAAAGAATTAGGGGATCGCTAATATAGGCGATTCTGTTGCACCCCCTAAGTGAAGGAAATAAAACAAGTGTTACCGGTTTGCTAGATTGATACCTTTTCCGTGCGATAATAACACTATTAACACCTAGTTATATTTGTATAAAAAACTTTTTGGAAATTACACGTTGTATTGACGAGAAGAACCACTGCAATGCAAGATCCTCTACAGTAAATCTTCGATGAGTGTTCGAAGGCTCCTCAGCACTCAACATTAAATATTTCATAAATTAATGGCTGTATAAACTCGCGATTAACCACTGTTCTTTGGTAAATTAATACCGCGGAGCTCTTTGGAAAAATGGTGTGAGACTTCTTCTTATCAATGCCGAAGACCTATTGAGCACTCATCGAGAATTTACTGTAATTGTTTTAAATAGTAATCCACAATTTTGATAAGTGATCCACAAGTTTGTTTGAACACAGTTCAAACATAATTTGAATTCAGACCATATTCCTGCCCTTTGTTCATAAAGACAACGGAAAATGATCGAAAACGAGGATGCATATCACTGCAGTACTACAGCCTTTTAACTTCCTGAAACATCAGTTTCAAATTTTTTGTAATATAGTGGGTTATTTATTAATACACCTAATACATTACGTAAATATATTCTATCAGTTCGAAATGGTCCATTTGTACGAATACTTTCACATATAATGTTACTTATAATCGCGCATGTAATTAATTTTATTGTTAATATTAGATATACCAATAAGTGATGCACTGGTTCTCGTAAAATTCGTCGTTTGTTTCGAACTAACTCAAACACTTTTGCTGACGTCACAACATTTGTTATTCGTTGTCGAAAGTCAACGCGATTTTGACCGATTAAAATATCGAACGAGTATTCTGAATTGAAACTATATTTTATTATAAGAATAATAGATTACTTATTGGTGCACCTATATTCTTCAAATTATGAATTGAATCACGTTACCTGGTCTTGAGACTGTCGAGCGGCTTGCACTGCGGCATTGACATTGGTTTGTTGCCGTTCTAAAGACGAGGATTCCTCTCGAACGACCGACTCAGCTTCCCTTACTTCTTCCTGTAACTCCTCCACTATCACCTTCTTCCTCGAAAGCACTTCTTCCGCAGCTTTCGCGGCCTGCAATGCTTTCTCGGCGAGTTGCGTTTTCACCTGAACAATGAAACGTATTTATGCAATTTTTCACGAAATACTAATCTAAATATACAGAGGAAACAACGATCTATCTTGTAAATACAACGATTCAACCTTGAAATCATTCTTTTTTATTACTGAATTTCCCATATCTATCGGTAGAACATCTTTTTACTACTGTTTTCATTCTATTTAAGCAATGTTTTTAACTATAAAAAGATTTAATTAGAAAATCGACGTTGCAACAATTGCCTTTTTTCTTATCGGAATGTAACACCACAGATTCCAAGACACCAAGCTCACGATACAGGGTGAGAACAAGTAATGCTATTCAATAATCGCAACGTGGGAATCATCGTATTGCGATTTTATTGCATAACACCAGCCAGTCTAATACGTTTTCATAACAGTAAACAATGCAGAGCCTCGCAGGATACGTGCAAGAAATAAAATTGTAGGAAACTAATTCTAACGTAATTCGATCTATTAGATAGAATCATACATGACGTAAGTACCAATCTATTACGAATCTTGCAGTTTAATAATATTCATACGTCGAAAAAATACGGAACTTGAACATCGGAATCTATAACCGACGCATCTCTTATAGTTTGTTTCCGGTCGTCAAATGACTACTGCGTTTGTTCCACTATCTACTGCAGAATTGTTTGAAAACATTGATGCTTTTACTATATTTCTATATTAGAGGTACCAATGAGTATTTCACTATTGCTATTATTACTAGTCATGTACAATATTTATTGACCCACAAATTACGTGGTAAAAATGGCGTAGGATGTTGGAGAAGAACGAACAATACTATTCAAGTATAATAAATAATCCACTATATTTTAAGAAATAGTAACTTTATCTTTCAAGAAGTTCAATAGCTGCGATGCTTCGCTAATATTCATCGTTATTCTCCAACGTTCCTTCACATTTTTGTAAAAGGGTGAGAAAATGTTTTGAATTATGTTACTGGTTCATTAAAAAGAATAATAGATTATTTACTGATACAAGTACTAGTACTAATAAAATAATGTATTATTCATTGATGTAGGTGAAATAGTGTCTAAAACCATTATTCTGATTCTTATACAATTAATTCGATTAACACCAGATCTACCAAAACAGTAAAAATAACGGGTTTGCAAATTCTTGTAAAACGATTCAAATATTATAACAGTACATTTCACGAGATGTTTGCGCAACTTCAATTGCAATACACAAATAAAGAAATTAATTAACTCACAAATCTGTATAGTTTCATGAAACTGTCGCTCTTATCGATCTGATAGAAATAGACATACGTGAATTGTCGGTAATTCCGATGTTAAAGATTTATTTGGAACCTGCTTACCCATTTAAAAAGGAATATTGTCTCATTTTATAATTGGAATTTTCAAGATCATTCTAGGAAAAGTAAGAAAATAGGGTCGTTCCTTCCTTTATTCGTAAATTTTTATCTAGGTACAAAATTTCCCTACGTCTGCTCATTGGTACACCTAATAATTAGTGACCATAAGTACGAAGTAGAAGTAAGTACTTGACGCGCGGCTTGCTGACCAGCAATGTTCTGGGCATCCGAGGCCGCTTTAGCTTCATTCGCAGCTTTCTGCGCAATGTTACTGCTTTTCTCTGCGTTTTTCTTTTCGACATTCGCCCCGTTACCGTTGCGACAAACGTGGCCAGCGTTTTCGTTACCTGCGTAACGCACCTCCCTTTGGTTCTAATAGAAAATAAAGTGTCACCGACTATGAACGAATAATAAAATTAATTTACAAATATCACATGTAATAATATAAGGTTTTCTTATGCATAGAACACACAACTCCTGTAGTAGATAGTTATGCAAATGCAAAAAGAAAAAACATAGAAATATTTATTTTAATTGTAATCACCCTTCAGTGAATACTATAAATTTCAAATTTATGAGTATCATGTTGATACTATGAACAAATATGTAAAAAACATAATAATGTAAAAGGATTTGATTAATGTTTAAAATAGTTTATATTATTTTCCAAATAATACAAACATAATGGAAGAAATAAGTTTCTATTCTATTTCGAGTTCAACCTCAATGGAATAAAAAAATTTCTATTTCATTCTTCTTTTTATAAATTAGAGTATGAAGACATAAGTCTACATAATAGTCTATGATATGATTATTAAAAAGTATGCGTATATGATAGTCACTGTTACATTATTAATTCTTATGCAAATTCACGTTCTCATACAGTGATTTACAAAAAAATCTATCCCCCATCAAAGTTCTCATTAAATTGAAAATAAATTAATATCATTGAACAAATTCACTTGGATTTGCTATAAATAAACGAAATATGCAAACTACTCGGAATAAACGCAAGGAAAAATTGTCTTGGAGGTTATTAGGAAATTTTGTTTACAGTGAAAAGCATGCAAGAAAATAATAGTTAGGAATATGAGTGATCAGGAAGGATATTAGACTTACCATATTAACTGGGATCTTGTGAAATCTTGCGCAATCAAGATATTCGATCATCAGCATTGCTAAAGAAATTTTCGCTTATTTGGTTAGAAACGGAATGTTAATTAACTGGACACAGAACTCACCGATATAAAGAATATGGAAGAAGTGCATGCTGCAAGGGATGGTTTAGGTAAACGCAGGGCTGTAGTTCATATAAATCATTATATAACAAGGTGTGAAATTACGTCTGATTAATATTGGTGTCAAAACGTGCATTGGCAGTAGAAACAAAATGAAGCACGGCTCTATCGAATTTTGCAATTTTGTATACATATTAAGATGCCTTCATATATTCACCTTTGTTTAAACTATTTAAAGTATCAATCAATGATTTTACTTTCATCTCTATTTATGCATCCTGTTTACACACATCTGACAGAAGTATATTTTTTTTGTTTTACTCCACATTTCTTCACGTTAATTTACAAAATAAAAAAGTTAAATAAAAACACATTTCCTTCGTTAACTGGCTGCACAAAAATTTATAAACACTAATCTAGTAAGAGACTATAAATTTGTTTTTTAAATTGTTATGTACTGTATCTATAAAGAATAATGTAGATGTGTAAAAATTATTATTCCGTGTATTGTTAACCGGTTCAAAATATAGTGAATAAAACGTTAACAATGATCTGTTTATTCGAACAGTTCACATGCGAAAGTGACTAATTCCATTATTTTATTTTTTCAAATTTTAGTGCCAAAGCACTTAATTAGTGTTTAACTTTTATATTTAACGTAAATTTTAAATACAAATTTTGTAGAGTTAATCACGTTGGCAAATGAACGGCTCACATATTTCTGTTTAATAACTTCAGAAAAAAAGATTACAGTGCAAACGTTATTTGCACTGTCCTCAACCCCTTCCGCAACTACCACGAGCTTACACTAAAGAGCTATAAGAACTCCAATGATCAAGTAACTGGTATCAGTTCATAGTTGTTTGCTTGAGCAGAGACAACACTGATTCCTCGACCGGTCCAGCTATTATATCCGGTATGTATTAAACGTTCTTTGACAGAATAGTTGATGTTCTTCCTAAATTCTTTAAAATTGGACGTAAACCGTTTGACACAAACGAAACAAAGTTATAATTTTTTAACAAATTGAATAATGTGAAATCAATATTTTGGTTTATGGATTCATTGAGATCAATGAATTTGGTGTTTGTAGAACATAAATACTGTTTACGTCCAATTAAGTTAATTAAAGATAGACAACATGTAACTATTTTGTAATTTGACTATTTTAGCCAGAATTTTAATCAGTTTTTTGTTTTTAAATTGAGTACTGTGAAATAAATATTTTTGTTCGTGGATTCATCGAGGTGAACGACTTTGATGTTAGTAGAACGTAAGTAATGTTTACGTTCAATTAGTTTAGAGAAATATAGGACACATACTGACTATTTAATTTTGAATTTTAGTAACTCACTTAAAATAGACTCTAATTATGGATCTACGACCATACTTAATCATCGAGCAATAATTTAATTATCTTGATGTTCCAATGAGTTTAGATGCTTATTGTTATACTTTTCCAAAGATAGTAAATTCAGTGGAAGTGTTAGATAGATGCAAAAGTATTGGTTTGGAATTTTAGTTGATATTGCAGTTTCATTCTACTTTACTGATGAGGAATTTATGTTTTTCATAAGACTGGCAAACATCGTGAATAATGAATGCTAGTTTAAAACATTTATTTATTTGTATTATCTGAAACAGCTTCTGTATTCATAGAACAAAATCACATCTATCAATTGTAAGTGCAGTGTGAATGTGTATGTAAATTCAAATATTGCAAAATCATTTTTCGAAAATAATAGAGAAGCAACTATTGATATTTCTTTTTTTAAATTCAAAATTCATAGATTAATTTTTTAAAAACGATACATAAGGAAAAATTGATTCTTCTCTATCAATGGCTTTATTAGATTGAAAGTGAATGAATTATTTTATTATATTGTACATTTTTAAGTTGTGTTTACATTTTAAGAGTCTTCGAAATTCTCGTGACAATAATTTTATTACGTACTGTGTGAAGTATTTCTGCTTTCCGTAACATAATACACATAGCAGACCAGTGAAGTGGAATTTCAACTCAAGGCACGCCTGATTTGTATCTGGCTTGAAAGGAGCAAATTGCAAAAATTCGTGTGAAATATACAATATACTTTCACCCACCAATGCTGCCGCGGTATTTACGTGGGGAACACGAAAGCGCAACTTTCAAAACCCTGTGGACCCTCTGATTTCTGTGTACACGGTTGATCACACCAAGCGTATGCAATCTAATAGGCAATTATTGAAAATTCATATCACAGTAATGAATTCCAAAATAGTTTCTATTAATAACTACGTACAGTTTATGCAAATTTACAATTTTACACAGTAATTTATAAACGCGAGAAATATTCAAAACGTTGCTTGCTGTATAACAAATTTTATTAGACTAGGTAGAAAAATAACACATTTGTGTCACTCAGCTGCATTTAAGTAATAGAGTTTTAATCAGTACCCAAGTGTAAGTTTTTAATTTATAAACCATGATGATGAATCCATAAACCAGGATGATATAAAGCTTTGCATTTTTATTGAAAGCCTCACTTTACTATTGACCTACTAAAGCTTTCTATATTAGAAATAATTTTCTGTATAATTGTTGATTTTATACATTCATTTATACAAATACGCACTTCTATAAACATCTGCAATCTAGTGATTACAATTGTGTAATGGAAAATTAGGATTTTTATAGCGAAATGAACCCCCCCCCCCCTTCCCTTAACACTAGACACTCAAACTAGTCAAAATGACGGATTTCAAATTTCTTATTTTAGAATTACTGAAATTATAAATGTGCTCTCCTCGGAATTTATGTTGACTTTTAATTTTTCATACTATATTCTATTAAATTGTATTATATGTATATCTTACATATCAATATATTATACAATGTAATTTAACATACATTCTACGCTGGTAATTCTAATGTTAATTAACCGTTATAAATACCTTTCTCAAAAGTAACTACTAGTGTGAACGTAACAAAACCTACTGTAGTGTGCACGTATTACTCACGTTCGAAACATTTACCGCGAAAGTCAATTCCTTGACATATTTTCAACGATTTCAAATAAAAAATCCTTAATAGAATGGTTTCTCGTGGATATGAATGAAAGATGCGGTAAATCAATTTACATTCGTTACACCACCGATCGTATGTAAAACGTCGTAGAGTCGACTCAATTTGTTCTTCGGTGGACAGAAACCATTGTTTGGTACACGTTTGCCTTTCTTGCACTGTGTTTTATTAGATTTCGTAACGCAGTGATTTTAGTGCCAGTATTTCCTTGAAGTATTTATAGTCATAAAGTTTTGACCACTTACCCCTTTCGCAAGTACATGATTAAGTCTATTTCTGTTTTTCCGTCAATCCTTTTATAGCTGTGCCGCACTGTATCATGCGTATTTGTTATATACATGGTGTATCCGAAATTATGATACAATCGAAAACTCTATTTTATTCAAATCTCCAAATCCAATAGAATTTTAATGTTTTTCGAATACACCTTGAATACGATTCAACTATGCGCTGGACAGAGATGGGCACAATTTTTTTTCAAATAATACATAGTAAAAAACAGCTGTACGTACAATCGTCATAATGACCTTTAAACAGTTAACGAGATTAAAGAATTATTTACGAAGTGTCTACTCATTCAAAAAGAAGTATTATTTTATTCTAAAAATTTGAATTTCAATGTTAAATCTGTTATAAATAGCGAACTATTTTTTTTTTATATTCTATTCGTTATTCGAAGCTCTTTATCCAGATATACTTGGATTGACCAGTGCTAGGTCAATGCTTAGCTACTATTTCCATGATCAATTGGCATAGTTGGTCATATCAAAATTGAAAAGTTCGATTTTCTCGAAAACGGAGGTTCATATCAAAAATTTTATTCCCCATTTTTGACTTACTTTCCGATACAAATAGTCGTCTATAAAATTCATTTAAAAGTTTATACGACACTAAAGAATTGCTAAATATCCCTTTCATGGTGGAATTGACTCGCACACAGCACGATGATTAATAAATCAACTACATAATGTGACCAATCGGATTCGAAAGGGTGATTCGAATAAAAAACAGCGAGGGGGAAAAATCGTTCCGTCTTGAAGAAACTTCGATCCAACACGTGTATACGATCGTACGTACAGTAGACGGAGATAAGATCTGCCTTGGGCGGGCTTAATTATGCACTAACATACGCGCACTGCTTTTCAGAGCGCGACGGAACTGGACTTTTGGTTTTGAACCGGCGCGGCGGCGGCCGCAACGGGAATTGCGACAGAGTTGCACCGGAAAGGTGGAACGTGCGTCATGATTATTTTACGTCAATCTGGAATTTCGTAAAGAATATATGCAATCGATGTTTCTCGACGTTTGTATCTAAATTAACCTTAATAGACATGGACACATCAATTATACCTAATTCCGCGTCGATTACCAATTCGCGATATATATATTTATTATTATTGTTATTAGAATGTAGATTTCATGTGTTTATGATGGCATCGAACATAAATGAATGATTAATTTGTTTTTAAGCATTCAATACTTGTAAGTGAAAGTATAATTTTGTGTTTACTTCTTGCTTGTACGAAATATTCTGGAATATTTCAATAAATACAGTGATTCTTCGATGAATGCGACACGAGCAACGACCTTATTCCCACCACTGGGGGGCCCCCTTTGGAATCAATCAAAACAGAGTAAACAGAAACTAAGCAGAGGCTCGGTTTTAAGTAAAAAACGTTATTGCCATACATGCTCCGAAGCGAACTTGAATACGTCGCACTCATCGAAATATTACTGTATTCACAGTTTGTCTAATTATTCTGCGTGTGAAAATTAGAATCACTATATTCGTTGCATTTGTATGTCATCTTAAGCTGTCATTGAACTAAAAAGTACAGTATTACTTTTTTCTATTCTTACGTAATCCAACATAGGATGAATTTAATTTTTGAATATTATAACTAAATTTTTGGCAGGCTTGTAATTAAAAAGTATACGTAATAAATATTAGCGCCACTTCAACCACGTAATTTCTCGTATTGATATATCTTCTAATTGACTAATGAAAGTAATTTTGCTTACGATTCAATTATCCGCCATCGAGTAACAGTAGGTCAAGGAAAGTCACCTCGATGTTACGATCCCTCGTATACACGTAGAACGGAACATGCATAACAGTTCTCGATGTGTATCAGTATTACGAAGGAACAGTTTAGAATTACCGTAAATTCAGGTAACTTTGTTCCTAGTCAGAAACTGATTATTCTCCATTTTGCATCTCTGCAAATTGTTAAATTAAGTTGATTTTTACATAAAAAGGTATTTCACATAAAAATACCATCAAAAGAGTTGTAAAACCTAAAATGATCAGATTCTGATTTTGGAACAAAGTTACCCCACATTGTGTCAAAGTTACCCCAACTTACGGTACGATAAAATAAAACTTGATGTATGCAATTTTTCCATTAAATTACATAAGTCCCATTCCGTATATGACATTACCTTCTAATCGTACTCGACAAATTCTTTCCATTCACAGAAACCGTTCGTTACGGAAACTGTACCATCCCAAAGACCCCAACAATGAGGAAACTACTCCTACTATTAGGATACGTCTACCTAGTACAAGGTGGGCCAACCAAGAAACAGGTACTACTGGACCAACAGGCCGATGCCTACGGCTACGAATACGCTCAACGTGAACCAGCGCTATCGCTAGCTAACTCCGGGGCCTATTTGGACGCCGGTCCAGGATTATCCGCGGCTCCCGTTAGTCCTGGCCGTAGCCCACCGAAGCCAGGGTACAGTGTTGGCGGGCCTCTAGCCAACATCGCGAAGGGTGCAGCGGACGATGCTCACACTCAGCTGGCCAACCAGCAATCAGCAGCTGGACAGGCTGCATACGTCGCTAAGAACACTCTGGCCCAAGCTGCGGCCCAATCAGCGGCTACCGCGGCCGCTGCGCTCGCTGGCAAGCAAATCGTCGTTCAAGGTCTAGAGCAACAGTCAAGGGACGCCCATGTAGCGGTCGACGGTGAGAGCCTGCAACTGCAACAGGCCGAACGTGCCGCGTCTGCAGCGAGAACCACAGCGAAACAAGCGATGCATCAGTTGCAAGTGATCACTGCTGCTCTGAACGCAGCTCAAACCACGGTGGATCGTGCGTCTCAGGCGGCAGCCGAGGCTGCAGCCGAGTTAGCCGCTCAGACCACTATGCTCGGGCAAGCGAAGGCCAGAGCGGAAACCGTGGACGAACAATTGTCCGCTGCACGTGTCGATTACGGCAGCACTCAGGCGGCCGCGGACAAAGCCGCCACAGCGGCTGCGGCTGCGCAGAACAACGCACAAGCTGCTGCCGCGAGTGTCGCTGACACAGCCGGCCAGTCTGCGCTTCTGAGCCACCAACCGGTGGAACCAGCGCCGTCCGTGAAGCTTCCTCAAAGTCCTCTTCGGCAACCTGTGCTGCACAACGGTCCCGTTGGTCTTCAGGAATCCGAAGCTATCCTAGCAGCTGGTGGGCTTGAAGAGTCTGGTCTTCTGTCACCCGGCGTGCTAGATGCTGGTGCTCTTCAGGCGGCAGGACCTCTTCTCGGGCCTGGAGCGTATCAAGAAGTTGGTCAGTTGCGTGGACCTGGATCTCTTCTAGGACCTGGATCGCTTCAAGATGTTGGTCAGCTTCGTGGACCCGGGCCTCTTCTAGGACCTGGATCGCTGCAAGAAGCAGGTCACCTTCGCGGACCCGGTCCTCTTCTCGTGCCTGGAGATCTTCAAAGGGGGGTGCTTCGTGGGCCTGGTTTGCTCGCCGAACAGAGTGCTGTTCTTGGACCCGGTGGTCTCGCGGAAGCTGGCCTTCGCGCGTCCAACGGACTTCATCGTTCGGAACTGATTAGCCTAGCGAACGCTATACCCGCTGACGGTTACGATACCAAAGGTTACCGCTACTAGCTTTCCCCTTTTGATCGAACCCGCTACAGTGGAATCTAGGTTTTGTTGCTCTTTATTCGGAAGCACCCGGTGTATCCGTTGGTGTTCCGTATATCAGACTGTGAAATAAAACGTTGTTGAAACCACCAACTCAATATTCACTGTTTGTTTTTTTCTTTGCATTTTTCCTTCTTCTCTTTCGTGCGCGTGGGTAGTCGTCATTGTATACAAACATCTTTGGAATTAGGTAATAAAATTGTGATTATTACCGAAAGCACTATTACTACCTTCTTTATTAGTGTCTAATGCTGCGTCAATTTTATGAACAATTGTAAATCGTTTACATGCAAAATGTTACACGAACTGTATTGAAATTAATATTCAAACTATTATGAAAAATATCAGTAACGGATTAAACCTGGTACTACAAAACAATTTCTTTCGGCAGCTATAAATTGTATACATCCTATTAGTAATCATATTCTGTAACTAACACGACGTTAAACAACTGAATTAACACTAGTTTTCTTTTTTTTGCAATGTACTGCAGGTACATTTTTGTATTTATTTAACATTACAAAACGACATGTACATTCTACTTTTATTAATAATTTGCGTAATTGTTAAAAAGAAATGATAAAATCATTTCTGTAATCGAATAAATCATTGTATTGGTTCGACAAGTAAATGTATACCTCCTTCTACCGATATGACAAAACTTCCACTTTCAAATTTCATGCGAGTCGGCTTATCCGGTACGGGCTTTACCCTGTGGTTTAACAATGTGTTTATTATGGCAATTTTCACTTGTATTAATCCAAACCGTAAACCTAGAACAGAACAAAATAAATAATCGAATTCACAGAATGTCTGCGACGTTTCCAGCACTCGTATAATCGTTACACACAGTGTATTACTTCAGAAAACAATTGTTTCAAAGTGATTCATAATAAAAGTCATCGGTATTGTTCGGAACATTACTGTTTTTGTTTATGTTCATAGATTTGTTTGGTCAAACAATGCACTTACCTATACATATCCTTGGACCCTCGCCAAACGGTAAATAAACGTACGGATGCCTAGCTTTGATATTCTCCTCGGAGAATCGTTCTGGATCAAATTTATCCGGGTCTGGATAAATACTGGGATCCCGATGAAGACCAAAAACAGGTATTACGATAGGAGTTCCTAGAGGTACGGTAACGTCGGTGGTATCTAACTTTATCTCTTTGGTACATGTACGAGTTAGAACAGCAAGCACTGGGTATTTTCTCATAGTTTCTGTAAACAATGTAAATCTTACAATATTCTTAAATAAAACAAAAACCGAACATATCCATATAATTATTAAGTCTAGAGATAAAAATTCATTTAGATGCACGGTACCCATAAATATTGGTCAAATTTTGGAATTTTCATTGACAATATTTTGTTAACTATCGAATTATTAAGATACATGTACGGGACATTTCTTGGTCTTATCGTGAACCAATTTTTAAACACTCTATAACATCGTAACGAGAATCAATACGATTTAAAAGCCTAATTTACTTTCTTTAGTAAAAGAAATTAATAACCAATATGATTGTACAGTATGTTATAAAAAATGTTTCAGACTAAAGTTAAATGGTATCAGGGGGCACGCTTTCTGACGTGAGTAACTTTTTTCTCCGTGGACGCATAGAGGTCATATGAAGGTCAACATTGTTTTTGTAAATAGAATAGTATATTTTTTAATGCCCTAAGTCGCCACAAGTGACTTAGTACTTTATGTAGGCAATAACGTGTAGCATCAAGTAGTGCATTAAAAAATATACGATTCCATTAAAAAAAGGAAAAATTGACCTTCATATGACCTCTACGCGTCCACATAGAAAAAAGTTACTCACATCAGAAAGTGTGCCCTCTGATGCAATTTAATTTTTGCCCGAAGCATTATTTAATATCGTCAATTGTTTCGGAGATATTCGAATGGGCTCACTTAAATGGGACACCCTGTATAGACACGAACCTGAGATCACTTTATGCAAGTAAGTCATGTCGTTCATAGCGTTATACGTCAATTCACCGTGTTGTTCGATAACCGTTCGAATCTCATTCTGTAATTTATCTTGAATATCTTGATGTTGCGCCAATTCGTAGAGACAGAATGTAACTGTCGTTGAAGAGGTTTCGAATCCAGCTAAGTAAAATACATACGCTTGTGCACAAGCTTCTAAAGATGGCAACTTATTATCCGCCATTTCTAAAGAAACCAAGGAGTACAAGAAAATAAATGATTATAAGGAAATCTATGAACTATGTAATTATTCATAGCTTTGTCAGACGGGAAGATATTGTATTTATTAGCAAAAAAAAGTGATTATTACTTGATTCATGCACATCGGTAGCATCGTCATCTGGATCAACGTAACCGTTCTGCATTAGTTGCATTAGTTGATTCAAAAAATCTTTTCTGGTAATATTGTTAGACTTCCTGTATTCTACTGTCTCATTAAACACGTTAGAAAAAAACTTCGTAACGCCGCGGTTAGTGTACGGTATAGACAATATATTGAACACCTGCGGGGCCCAAAGAAGTAGGCTGTTCCGAATAGGCAACGGCTCCAATGCTTTATTACCCCAATACCGAAACTCGTTGTCGGGATTAGTGAAACTATCGCAAGTTATTCCGAACGCCACTGACATGATGTTGTCTAGAGAATACCTAAAGAAAAAAAATTATAGAATTCAGTTTACGCAAACGTACACTAGCATTCGAGTTTGGAATCAGTTAAGTACAAAGTTAAAAAGTTAAGTTACAGACTTTTTACTATAAAGGCTTGTATACCATTATACAGGATGTCTCAAAATAAGTGTAAGTCTTTGAAAGGGCTGATTCCTGAGGCGATTTGAAACAACTTTTTCCTTAGAGGAAAAGTTCTCCGAAGCTTTCTTAATGAGATATTAACGGAAAACCCCGACCAATCAGAGCGCGAGTCTGCCGGCTGAGCTTCCAAGGTAGCGTTGGCTACGCGTTGCGCTTGTACTACGAACAAGCAAGTCAGGATGAATCGAGGGAAACTGTATAGAATAACAAATAAAATCCAACTTCTCATTTTCATTCGGTAATTTTTCATTTATTATTCTACGCTGTTCCTTTTAGTGCCTGCCGACTTGCTTGTTCGTAGTACATTCGCACTCTTATTGGTCAGGGTTTTTCGTTAATATCTTGTTAACAAAGCCTCGGAGAACTTTTTCGCGAAGTAAAATGTTGTTTCAAATCACCCGTGGAATTATCCCTTTCAAGGACGTGCACCTTCTTGGGACATCCTGTATAAAGGCTTCTATGTACCCTCGCGAGCAAACTCGGCTTCCGCTAGAACTGAAAAGTAACAAAAAATTATTCTTATCAAATTTTTGCCTCATAAAAATGACCATCTTTATATTAAACACCTTCCAATCAAATTCTAAACATTCTATTTATTAATTTCTTAAAATATTCTTTATCTAAATTTTTTCTATTCCGTTTTAAAGTACTTCCAGAATTGTGTGGCAGACACACACGCACACTTACACAAAAAACAAAACAAGCAGACAATCAGAATATCAAAAAAATAAAGAATTTTTGAAAAATGTGATTATAAAAACAATTTTTTTCTGCGGACCGATCAAAATATGCAATAAACTGTTTTACAGGCGGTTATCTGAAACAAACTAACAAAGGATGATTTGTTTAATTAAAAAAATATGACTGCTCCTATACTTTCGAACGGTAATGTATGCGAATATATATTTATATCTGACAAATTTTTGCTCACATTCCAAAAGTTTCTTTCACGTCGATTGGTTCTTTTAATTGAGCTTTGCGCTCCAAATATTTGGCCAGCGCGACACCAGTTTCCTTCAAAATCGGAAACATTTGCTTGATCTTTCCGGAAGTGAAGGTCGGCGTCAATTTCACCCGTAAAGTTCTCCATCTTTTCCCGGCCAACTGAAACAAATTCGCGGACAGCGGATCTATTTCTGGGTTAGAAAATATTCCACGATCGTGAAAACTCGTAAACTCTTTCGCCAGCACCTCCCGAATTAAATTAGGATCGTTCACCATCAGATGCGGTTTATACAGCATGTATATACCTAGGAGGCGGTGATTTTTGTGCTGTGTGTAAAGATCTTTAAAGAAATCCACTAGAAAATGATAATTATGTCATTAATATTATACTTTTACAGTTTTTGCACTGCAATATCAAATTTTTGTACATCAAATTCACCCTTTTGTAGATGAAATTCATCCGTTTGTAAATGAAGTTCACCCTTATGCTGATCGAATTCACTCTTTTGCAAATCATATTCTACCTTTATCAACTATCTAGTTACCTTTGCAATAATTTGAGTAGGTGATTTATGTTTATTCGTGACAGAAACGCTTACTTATCAGTTTATAGTTTCCCGTTTATTAACACATAAATATGTATATTGCCTATTTTCTTGAATAAAGAAAAGGAATTCGATACAGTAGACTCACGTTAAAGTAGCGATAGGAACGTTCTAGCTTACACGCATTACTCACACACATGCACGCATCCCACTATCGGTCGCCATATGTAACCAAAGTTCTAATCCAATTGGTGGATTGACCAAACTGTCACGAGATCCTGCGTTCCCATTGGCTCATGTTAAAGTAGCATTTCCAGGAAAAAGCCGCCTCGAGAGCCTCGCACCGCTACTTTAACGTGAGTCTACTGTAGTATGTCTTACGTCCGCTCTGTGCAACGTCTAACGAAAACAGTGTCTTGTTGGTTCATTTTCCGAAACCCAACCGACGTTTCGAAATGTCTGAGATTTCATCTAAGTGTTTATTACAGGAATAAATATAAATTACTTACTCAAATTATCACAAAGGCACCTACAGAGACAACATTGTGGGTCGTTGATTATTGTGGCGGATAATTTTGAAAAGCTTTGGTTTGAAATTTTAATTTTGACTGCATTTGTTAAAACGTTCTTCTATTAGTTTTTATTTCGTACATTGACAAAGTTTAAATTTAATTTGCAAAAGGATGAATTTGATATGTAAATGGTGAATTTCACCTGCAAATGAATTTGATATGCAAAGAGTTGATTTTGGAGTGCAGAAACTGTAAATTGCGTACTGTTTTTGACAATGTTCTTATTTTACTTCCATTTATAACATTTCGTTATATTTCATTCATATTTATTTGCAAGCGAATAGAAAACTATAATCCCTCGATGAAATGCTTTATTGCTCGCCAACAGTCCACGTCACTTTTTTTTTTCAAACACAAAGGCAAGAAGACAAGTTCAATAAAAAGTGATTGTTATGCTCTTAAGAACGTAGTCAATTATTCATCATTAAACTATCATGGATAAAACAGACATGCTATTTGAATCACATGAATGTTTAATTAATTTGTAATTCAGACTCTCAATACACTAATGATAAAGTTATTCTAATTATAATCTATTATCCTTTTTGAAATACTTGCCTTGTGATGTTTTACCGGTCAGAAGTGGCGTTATATTTCCGGTAGGAAACGTGGGCTCGATAGAAAACACACCTTTCTTGTGCCAGAAAGTGAACACATAAAGTTTATAGTAGATATATAACCCCGCGATTAAAAGAATCGTAGCACCCAAAATTTCCGACACGAACCATGCCTGCAGCATCATTGTGCTTGACTATCTACAACATAAAAACAAATGTTGTTAAAAAAAAATTTTTCAACATTTTCATTTGTTGATCATTTTAATAACTTTTCTTTATCTAACATTAACAGTTTCCAAAATATTGCATCAAATATGCTTTCCGTGTCAGCTTAAATATTGTTCAATACTTTGTGTCTTTGTCAAATTTCATTGAAATCTATAATTGTCATCTACTCTGTTCTATTTAAAGCGTAAATATTATAACGTAAACTCATATTTATTAATACTTTATCAATTCAATTTTTATTCGAATATTTTAATAAAGTAAATTAAATTAAATAATTTCTTTCAGAATTTCTGATCTACGTTTTCATGCATTAGTCTGCAGGTAACAACGCATTAATTACACATTCTGAATAATTGATATTACACCTGGAAACGCATCAATAATGCAAAACACAGTTCCAAACAGTTCTAGACACAGAACGATTTTCTTGAGCACGTTCGTAAAATATACTGTTCATATAAACGTTCACATCGCTCAAGTACCTACTCACTTTATTCCATGTGCATTTAGAAAAGAACTGTGGAAGAGAATCTGTCTTCCATGCTTTATTTAAAGACCCTCACTTACGTTAGGTCTAGATTATTATTGTTAAGTATGCAATGATTAAAAAATAATGTATGCAAATTACTATCCAATTAACATCCTTATCAGGTACGGTGTATAAACACATGTCACGTAAATTACATCACATACTGCCTAACGTAATTGTATGATTCAACACTTTTCAATAATTTTTAACAATTATCTGTGACATACCATTCTGATAAGCCAGTATTCATTTAGCTACATGTCCATTTCGAACCATTGACCTGAATGACACACGCATAATGATAAAAAAGATAATTTGATTACGAAATAACATTTGTTTTTGTTGTTTACTCTTTACATTATTTCTTCTATAATATTTTTAGATATACACGTAATCTCTATACAATATAAAAGGAAAGGATGTCTTCTCCTTAAGAGGTAGGCATCCATTAAGAAACGATTTTTCGAAATTCAATCCCCAAAACGGTGAAAAGGGTTAAAATGTATTTTCTGGGAATCTTCAATATCTCTTAGTCCCTATGAGACATCTCACTTTCTTTTTCTTTGAAATGCTATTCAATCAAATGCCTGGAAAGTAATTTCAGGATTTTTTGAAATTCCATCTACAGGGGATGAGAAGGAGTAAAGTAAACTACAAGGAAACGCGTAAGAAGTGATAGTTCAACTAATGAGTGTGAAGAAGATATTGTTCTGAACGATTAAAGTGATGACGACGCAAATTATGATGCAGAATACTAGTTTTGTACAGGACTTTATTCTTCAGATGTATATGGTGAACAATGGGTTCAGTGTATCAAATGTTACTGGTGGGCCCATGAAGACTGCAGTGCAGACGCAATTAATTTTATATGCCGAATGTGTAAAAAAAGACAGAAGAAATAAGTTTCGACAAGATGAAACCTGGGTCTCATATTAAGCGACCACTTTTTGAATTCATGTTTTTGCATATTTTTCATTTTTACTTTATTATGGTGGAACTCTATTGGTTTTGTTATAATTTCTAATATGTTGTAGCAGTGTACACATTTTACATTTAAAACGTGTATCGTAATTCAATGAAACTATTTTTAATCGAGAATTATGCGTGCTTAAAAAAATGGGTCTCATATTCGGCTACTTTACTCTAAATAGATATGTGACATTGTCCCGTGAATATGGGTCCCATATGTCTCTGGGCACTGCCATATCCAGAAAAATTGTCATCTAAGAGGAGTGAATATTAGCGCAGGTTTTAAATTATTTGAAAAATACAAATATAATAATATAATACATGAATAGTAAAAAAGTCAGCGGTTTGGGCTGTGCGTTGATGAGTCAATCAGGACTTCAACTTTTCTTCGCCTGTTTTTATTTTCTTCTTTTACAATTCAATTTAGAAATTTTATTTAAAAAATAATTATACCAAATCCCAAAATCCACGCGAGCGAAGCCACGGGCCAAATGCTAGTTGTTTATGTAATTAAATTTAATAAATTTAAACGGTTTCATCGGATCTTTTATATTCTAAATTGTTTGTTATATCGTTAACTGCATATTAACGACATATCAATTATACAAGATACAAATTTTTTGGTAAGAATTACCGGTGAAAATCACCCTATACATATATTTATTGCCAGAATGTCAACAGAGTATAATAATATTAATACTCTTTCGTCAAATTACAAAATATTTGTGAATTGTGCTACTAATAGAAAACGCCACGTATAAGAAGACCCTGATCAAGCAATACAACATATCCACTGTACTCGCTAAATTCATCTGACGTGTATAACATCCAATCGCCCGTGACGATTTAAACCAGCTGTTCTACGACATCATTGGGAATTGAAGGAATAAAAATAGAAAAATAAGCATGCAGACTCACCGTTTGTAAAGAGGCTCCGTATAAAACTCAACTCTCAAACTGGGAAGAAAATATTGAGTTGTAACATAAATCCGTAGCGTTTTTTGTAAATAAAATTTGTCTTATAATGCTATTCTGTAAATGCTAGATATGCATACCACTTGATAGCTCGTACCTTACTTTACAAAAACCATTTAATCCAAGAGTCGGGCGATCGTTATGTGACTCGTATGCTCTTTATCAGCCAACTGACGAGTGGTTTGACGAGTCTCTCTTCATGGATTAAAACGTTTAATCTTATGTCATCGAAGTCGGCCAAAGTGACGAAATGTCATTCAGGTCAAGATGGCCATTTTAAAAACGCGAAAACTCCACTTTCAATGTCATATATTCACCGACACAATCTTCTTCATAGTCTCTTTAGAGCCAAGAGCCATCTTCCACTACCACCATCCGATGTTACCATGGAATAACAGAGACAAAAGTCTCAGCTTCTTCATCTTCGAAGGAAGTGATCCTTATATATCTTGACACTGACCTCATTTACGAGAACCAGAAATATGTTAATTTCCCAGCTCATGCTTCCCATGAAATAAAATCTAAATAATTTTATTTTTCTCTATAACTTTATTAACCGACATTTAGCAGGTTATCTTCTAAATATGTAACAAAAGACATATACAGTGGGTCCAAAAAATATCCGTACACCCTTTAAATCGGAACAACTCTTTCAAAATTGGACCAAGTGACTTGAGTTTCTTTGTGAAGTTAGAATGATTAATGTACTAAATGATGTGTTAACGAAATGTTGAAAAAGTTGCAATTAGTCGGAATCGCAAAGAAAATAGTAAATGTCGTGTTTTACAACTGTTTTGTCTGAGACTGCAATGAAAATTTAATAAACATATTGTTTAGATTTATGTTAGTTATATGCATGCTGAATATTTAATCGATAACGATTAACATTGTTATGAGATACAAACGGTAATCATAACCGTGATTTCAAACAAAAAATGTTGGAAATCGCAGTTTTTTGCGACTTTTGACCTATAACTGTAGTATATCTAAAGATTCGTACATTTTTCGATGCCTGTTACTCGTTTCTGTATTAACCGATTTCAATAAAAGTTACAGCATGTATATAACTGACCTAAATCTTCGAAATGTATTTATTAAATTTTCATTACAATCTCAAACAAAAACGTTGTAAAAAGCGACATTTACTATTTTCTTCGACATTCTGAAAAGTCGCAAAATAAATTTTTTTAACACATCATTTAGTAAACTAATCCTTTTAACTTCACAAAGAAACTCAAGTTACTTGGTCCAATTTTGAAAGAGTTGTTCTGTTTTAAAGGGTGTACGAATACTTTTTGGACCCACTGTATTTTCGACGTCATATTTCATAAGTGTTACATTCATCTTTTAAACTGGAACATATAATATGAAATAATATAAAATTTATATTTATAATTATATAAAGTGGAATATATGTACATATAATACTTCATTTGTGCTAACAAAGGAGAAATGAGAGTGGTCACGCCCAGGAATTATACCCGTTTTGGTTACGCGCTAATATATACAAGAACCTGTTTGGTTCCACACTGGCATATACAATAACCTATTTAGTTCAACGATAGCAGATATCAGAACCACAAATGTACCACATCAATTGGAAGTGGTTTTACGTAACATAAAAAGTTTTTGCACGTTAAGGAGAAAATTACATATAGAACGCTAAAAATAAGTTGATGTTTGTGAATTTATTACAGAAAAACTATTAAATAAATCATAGTAAATAAATCGGAATAAATAAAAAGATAAATATCAAAGGTAATGGTTCTCGAACATCTGTAACATACAAGGGGTTAGTAACAAGATAGGGAAGGGGTGTGTGAAACATACCCAACCACCTCGACAGCTCACGAGAAACTGCAAATTTTCGACTGCTGCGCGATTTCTTTTAGGGTCTAGAGAGTGGGGATGTGGTATTTCCGAAGGTGGTCGACCTTCGCAGGTATCAGGAGTATCTAACTACATATGCACGCATCGCTTTGTTTCCTCACAGACAGAATTGAAATGTTTTTGCCGGCTGAGACTTCCTTGAAGAGTCTATACATGTGTACACCATATACCTCTACCGCACATCGCACTTTCTGTAATGATGGGTATGCGAGTTAAACGCGACACCGTATGTATTGCGTCCTGAATGACTCCTGGACGTGTTGAGTGAAGCTGAATGTGTTCTTGTATATGCTAGCGTGGAACCAAAACAGGTAGATTCCTACTATTATTCCAGAATTGGTCGCTTAGTGCAGCACTTGCCCGGGAACAACGAATTCCCGAGCATGAGCACTCTTATTTCCTCTCTGGTGCTAATAATACCTTGATTCATGCTTTATCGGTATTGTCGGGTATTGACACTAAAATGGTAACAGGGCTACGAAGCCCCACGGAGTATGTGACAGCAAATTACGCTGTATATAGGTCTACTTTATATCTAGTCTATGATAAAAGTCTGAACACACACTGACACACACATTATCAAGTTCAATAACAACTACTTCAAGTGAGTTTCCTATCATAGATTTGTGTAATACGAGATCAATAAGTTGAAAAGGTTTCGTCACGGTACGAGTTCGAGTTCATTGTAAAAGTTTTTGATCTCGTGGCCGTGGTATTTTTGGTGTGCTTACGGCAATGGTGTGTTTTGTGTAAGTGACACTGAAAGTTTAAAAATGATAACGAGACGCGTGACACATTAAAAATAAAAGCGGAATTCGAGGATCTGTAAAACGACAGATCTCGCTCTTATTACATCGGTGCAGCCAGAAATGTCAGATGCATGAATGATTGAAGGACCTTGGACCTCCGACTCTTAAATAGTCTTCGACAAAAAAGAAATATCGTGACTACAGTCGACGTAAACAGCTGATCTCAGAGTGTTCATAATTTCTAAACAAAATGTTGCATCCCGTTCTACGTGTGTACAAGTAATCAAAAGTTAAACAGCGTTTCAACATTAGTTAGAAAAATAAGGTTCAACGAAAAATGAGTTCTGTTTGGAAACGATTGCAGCGGGTAAACAAGAGGGCTGCAAAATTTCAGTTCACTGTGTCATACCATGAAGTCACTTTAGAAACAACAACAAAATGGTACGTGTTTAATATTTTCTCGTCTTGTCAGTTACATTTTTCGCGGAAAACTATTATCATGTGTGGTGCAATCACAATAATCCAACAGTAAAAATTCAGAAATACATTTAGCAGATTTACTCTAGATTTTTTCCTATTTATTTTTATTAAAATATTAGTCGTCACTTTGATTTGATGAAAGAACACGAATATAAATTACATTTTTAGTCCAAATAATCTCATGTTTGCAATGACATAATATATTTAGGTAAATTTAGTTGTAAAGAAGATTCTATTAAATTTTGTACATATATGAGTAATATTTATAATGAAACTTGAATTTTCATATAATCATAAAAGCTTCCTTCCTTTTGAGTGAATCAGCTTATCTTCAAATTTCCTGTTTCCTGTTTCTTCTTTATGTCCTATTTTGATTTCAACTTGTTCCTTAAATTCAAACACCCCAATCTCCTACTACTACCGAATAGGTGTTTATCCTTTATTATTATTTATGAAGTTATAACTTTTTCTTTTACTGCTACTATATAAATACAAAAAAATATCAATAAAGAATTATGAATTTTCACATATGTTGTTGATTGACTTCAGACATTGTGTTTTTGCTATTCATTAATTGTGTCTAAACAATTTCATAGGATTAAAAGTCTGTATTCAAATTTCTTTTTCTTCTTGTATTATTCGTGAAATTATGAAGAATATTTTTAATCATTATCATATTATAAATTAACAATATTTTTACTTAAGTATTTCAAATATTATTAAGTATTTTTTTTGTCTGATTTTATTAATTTTTCTTACTTTGAATATTTGAAACTTTTATTCAATCATTAGGAATATATTTGTTTATCTTCATTATTAAGTTCATTGTGAATATTATGGATGAAACACATAGTCATTAAAAATTAATTGACAATTGTTTTTTGTTATTAAGAACAGATACCTCGTCTACTTGTAATCATTTATTTTTGTGCTATGTGTTTATCAATATATTATTTTTGAGTATTTTACATTTAGGAAACCAAACAAATTAAGTGTTGTATGGACAAGACGTAGCAGAAGAGTGGCTTCTGATCCCATAGATTGGGAACCAAATTTAAGTGACCCATTAAAAGGTATTATTACTTGGCCAGTTCCTGACAATCACACGGTTTCAGTAACTCTGTTCAAAGATCCAAGAACGCATGAATTAGAAGATAAAGATTGGACATTTGTAATCGAAGATGTAAGGGCATTATAAGAACTTTCAGACCCAGGAATTATTTGAGAAGTACTTATTAATATTCTGTGCAAACAGGTTTCTCCCACTGGTAAGAGGCGGCATGTTGCTGCCACAAATATAAATATGAAAAAGTATGCAACTTTAGAATCTAGTCAACAACAACTTAAATTAGACTTGAAACCTACTTCAAAAAAAATCGTTAGCGCTTCGCTAGAATGTACTTTATCATGTGTCTTTTTGAGAGAAGGCAAAGCAACGTAAGACAATTTTATAATTGAAAATTTGATTTGTGTCATATGAAACTTCCTTTATACCTAATATCATAACTCTCCATTAGGGACGAGGATATGCAGAGTATGGCCAGCTTAATGTCAGTTAATAATAATAGCGATATAGCACCTTTGGATGATTTTGATAATGAGGATATACCTGAGGATGTTGAAGAAGTATCTGTGAAGAATCTTGATGAAATTTTAGATATTTCTGCACAGCTTGATTTAATGACAAGCAGTCTTACTGAAAGTGAATTACCTAGTACTCCAATAAGTGGTAAGATATACTAAACATGTGGAAACTAATACTTGCAATAATGAATTGTTCGTTTAACAGTGGCAAGTTTATCAAAGGACAATACTACACCTGTAAATGATAATGACCATTTCATACGTGATATTAGTCTAACAGGCATCGATGATTCCTTTAAAGAGAAGTCATCCTTAAAAGATACTGTCGCTGTTGAAAATGAGTATGTTAGGAATGCTATATTAACTAATTAAAATTACATGCAACAACAGTCTTAATTGTTTGTTAATTTTATTGACGCAATTTTACCACAAATTTTCAATTTGTTTGTAGTAAAAACATGGAACACAATACAATGAGATTACCATTACAACCATTAGTACTGACAAGGAATGATAGCAGTATTCCTAGATTAAAAGAAATCACACCAGGACAGGATTTATTGGAGTGGTGTAAGGAAGTAACTAAAGATTATCCTGGTGTAAAAGTTACCAATCTTACAACATCTTGGAGAAATGGAATGGCATTTTGTGCAATCATACATCATTTTAGACCAGATCTTATGTACGTAATTTTGGAGTAATGTTAAATTTCACAACAATTGAAAAATTATGTTTATTTATTGTTCGGATATTAAAGATCACTAAATAAATATTCAAATTATTCTTATGGAAAACAAAGATACACTAAGGTTACATTTAATGATTTTGGCTGTATACCAAATATCTTATTTATTTGTTCTATTTATAATTTGTTGGCTTATATTCATTGTTTTTCTTAAATAAAACTTTACAGAGACATAGATTCATTATTATCACATGATGTAAAAGGTAACTGTAAGAAAGCATTTGATGCCGGAGAAGCCCTTGGTATACCCAGAGTTATAGAACCAGCAGATATGGATATATTAACTGTACCTGACAAGTTAGCTGTGATGACATATTTATATCAGCTGAGAGCACATTTCACTGGTCATGAGTTAGAGGTAATTAATAAGAAAAAAATTCTAATCATGTAACACAATTTATGTGTAATGTGTACAAAAGAAAATTTGATTTTAAAGTAAAGGAAAGTAGTGGAGAAAATGAAAATATTTTCTTAAATGTTTCATAAAAATGTTTAAATCTTTTTTTAATGAAAAAGAAAGTAAATAAGTCTGTTATGAACATATACAGTGATAAAGTTATGTATATCTTTTGTACATGCATTCTGTTTGTTATCGAAGAAATTATGTCACGTTTTCAGGTTCATCAGATAGGTAAAACCGCAGATGAATCTTTTTACATGATTGGTCGATTTAATACTGACATTAACTCGGATGTGAGTGTGCAAATGTTTAGTCAAGAAATAATAAAATTGCATAAGAAAGATCAAATGGAACATAAAAATAATAAATTAGACAACAATAGACGGTATATTGTTTACAATTTTTCTGTTAATAATATAACTCTAATTTTTAAATTAGAGACAATAATAAAATTATGAATGTACTTATTTTGCAGATCAAATCCATTTGACAGCAAAAAGGAGGACACTAATATCGATTTGTTAAAAAACAGATTACATTTGAGTTTAAACACCGAAAATCAGGATCATGATCAATGCATAAAAGATAAATCACCGTCTAGTGTTAAAGATGTTAAAGATATTATATTAGCCAGCTCAAAGAGTATTCTAGAAAAAGTGTTATCGCCGACTAAAGAAAAATATTTATCCAAAGAAAAGGTATGTACATGTATTCCCTTGTGACTTTTTATATGTAATCACTGTGTTCTCATCTGCATTTGCCATTATCTGCCACCGTAAATTATTGTTCAAAATGGTGTTAAACAAAATTTACTACAGAGCAAATCTCCACCAAGAGTACCACAAGTACAACAACGTCCGATATTAATGACTCGTCGGCAATTAACAGATCCTTTTGGATCGGATGAGGAAGAGGAAAACATGCAAATAATTGACGAGAAATGGTCTCAGTCAGTTTCAGTTAACAAATTACAGTCGCCAATTCGAGATGTCAGTATATTTAAAATTGCTGAAAACGATTTTATTTTACCTAGACATTTGCTGTATATTTTACTGCATTAACAGTACATCTATAGCGAATTATTATATTTTGATATAATTGTATTGCTAGCATTTAAACTTTTCATTAATCAAAAATAGCTTTAGTATCACTTTCAATAAATTTTTTTTATTGCACGTCTATAAAATGTATTAATTTTGTTCAAAGTAAATACTCTGCAAAATGCTTTAATTCGATGTATACAACAAAAGTTATATTTTCGTATTGTACTAAGTATCTTCATTCTCTGCAAAGTTTATTCTGCATGAAGTATTTTTTTACCTGCGGTACAATTATGTGCTTGGCTTCCTTAGTTTTTTTATTTTTTTTTTTTTTTCAAAATAAATATGCTGTATCCTCTAATAGAAAATACGAAGTACGAATAAATTGACGTTCAATTTTTTACAATTAATTACAGTATGTTATACGATATTATGTTTTTGTAGAATAATTAGTCTTTTCCTACTCTACCATATTTTTACAAATGTAGAACATTTAAAATTGAGAATGTTGAAAGTTTCGAACGTTCCTTGTGTAATTGCCTTTGTACATACATGTGACTGCAAATTTTATGGCTTCTGCGTCTCATATATGTATTACAGCGGAGGAACACTATATTCCAATTTATTTATACTTTGTATTCGGGTATGTAGTTTATATATACAAATTTATGCGAGCATAGATCAACATTTTGCAAAAAGTTCGGAACCCCTTGGGATCGTCCCTTGCAAATATATTTTATTCGAATGTACGTTTCGTGCATGTATACATATGCATATATATGTATTGTATAAAGTCGATGAAAATATGGCTTGTGGCTTTAACTCAGTTTTCTTGATAGGATAAACAGTTACGAAAAAATGTTATTTTATATTTTCAACTCATCTTTTCCTGTAGAATCATCATTCTGTTAGTTGTACCATCAGTTATAAAATCCTTTCTGTGTATGTAGTACTTGTACTAACTTGTATTTTGTGGAAAAAGTATAAACAGATATACGTATGTACTATTTAAAATAACATCTTTAAAAATACAAATCATACAAGTATTAATTAAATATAAGAAGTTATCTCTGGTTTCTTTATTCCTGTCATTACTATCGTAGTAAAATACACGGATTTTAAATTTTTGTTATATTTCTTCCACATACATTCCTTATGGTAAAATATATATTTTTCACTTCTAATTTCTTTTCTTTACAAAAATACTCTTAACTTATTAACTCCGAATTTGGAGCTTCTGTGTAATAGAATATCAAAGAATTCATTGGTTCTATTTGTAAATTTTTTTTTGCAGCAAGTAATGTTGTAATAATTGTAGTATATGCATCTTCTTATAGGATTCAGTAAATGCAACTGACAAGGGAAGTCGTGATAGTACTGAGTATCAGAGTGTATCATCACCCCACAGAGAGCAACGTTCACAACATGTAATTAGTCTTTGTACACCTCTTTAAGTTGTTTATTGCTTGCCACTAATTTTGCTATTTTTTTATATTAGCCGTTAGTCAGTCGGCATGATGAATTAAGAGAACGTGCAAGACAACTGTTAGAACAGGCCAGGAATCAGACAAAATCAACTGCACTTGTTTCTGCCGCCGCTAGTCCTATCGAGGTTTTGTTTCTTCAATTTTATAGTTTTGTACTAAATCAATGTAGTGTATAGACGAGTTCGTTTTTACATGTAACTTTTGTGTTATCATTTTCATTATTTGCATCAAGATGACCACTCGGTGAAAATGTGCTTTATAATTTTTAGAGTCAAAATGACGACGAAAGGCAACAGCAGTTACGTGAAAGAGCCAGACGTTTAATAGCAGAAGTAAAAATGGGCGTTAACGTTTCCTCGAATCAAACAAACGATGATAATAATAGTGACAGACGATCGATAGACGATCAAAATAATAGTCCGAGACGAAGCATGACGCCGTCTACTCCCGGTGATAGATTTAGTACAAAGGTAATAAAAAAAAATTATTTCCGTGAGTTAAAGGTTTCTATAAATAAAAGATATGATAATACAACTAATGAAAAATTGAATACTTATGATATTAATATATATTATGCTATACAGTCATTTTCGGAATAACTTTCTTATGTTTATCTTTTTATATTTCTTTATGCCTCATATCTTAGACGTTGTTTATTGACATTTAGACAAATGACGATTTGTATCTCTCATTTTCTATAAATGATGCTACGCCATATGACACTTATAAATTGTAATAAGTTATAATAATTTTAGTCAGAGTATAATGGAAACATATTGGGAACTCCTAGTATGATAGATGGCGAGAAAAAGACCGGTTCTCCACTATATTCGTTTTCTAAAATAATAGAAAGAATTTCACCAGATAAGACTAGCCCTGATGGTACACCGTACACACTTAGAGGGGTATGTGTGTTTATTGACATACGAATTCCGAATTCCATATGGTAATTGTAATAATTTGGTGTCTAGTTGGGAAAGGACATGACATCGTATATTCAAAAAGAATTAGAAGCGTTAGAAAGAGAACAAACGCAAATAGATATTCAAGCGGGTAAACTGGAGAAACAACTTCGTGCCGCTATGGAAAGTGACAACGAGGAAGAAACTGAAAGACTGATGTCTCTGTGGTTTACCCTTGTTAACAAAAAGAATGCACTTCTAAGAAGACAAATGCAATTGAATATATTGTAAGTCACGGTTCTTTAGGTGCTCTGCTAATGGTCCTGCAGTCTTATTTCAGAATCATTAATTAACACATTCTCCATACATAAAATTGACGTTACCATTTTCAATATTTTAGAGAAAAAGAAGATGACTTAGAGCGTCGATTTGAACTTTTAAACCGTGAATTAAGAACTATGCTTGCTGTAGAAGAATGGCGAAAGACGCCTGAACAAAAAATGCGTGAAAATTTACTTTTACAAGAACTGGTTTCTATTGTAAACAAAAGAGATGAATTAGTTCATCACCTTGATACACAAGAGAGAGCGTAAGTGTACACAATTATATAATTTTGTTATTTTATGATATTCATAAGTTTTAAAACGAGACGCATTAATTGTTAGACTAATTAAGTATAGTGAAAAGTGTAATTTACAGTTTAATTTTTGTTGCATCACAGTATTGAGGACGATGACGAAATAGAACGTGATTTATCTAGAGCTGGTATAGCTCAACGAAATAAAAATTGTGTGGTACAATGAAAATTTAATTCTACTCTTGTTGCTCCAGTAAACAACAGGTATGTTGTCTTATGTGTGCAATTCATTACATACATGACTAAGAAAACCTAAGAAAAGAAATATTAATGTCTTTGAACTGTGAAAACTTTTTTTTAATTAAATTTATTCTGATGTGAAACCAGCAATTGCAGGTATGATCCATTTTGCTGTGGAGTTGCCAAAGAAAACAAAAACTTTTCCATGACGGTACAGTCAAGGATTTCTTAATCTGAGAGATATTAATGTTTAGAAATTTATTTTTTACCATAAATTATATACAATTGTGTAATCAGTGTTTCATATTTCTACAAATGCATTATTAAGTATTGCATCAGCACGCTATTACCCCACATAGCGGCAACGAATTTAAATTGAAAAACCGCCCTTGTCGAGACAAAATATGTAAAAGCAAATAAAATCTGTCATAGTGTTAGGAACATTATAAAAACTATACTTTTGTTTAGACAAATGCCAGTTTTGGTTATCCAGCAATATACATATTTAGGTACGATTGAAATATTTCGTAAGAAGGAGCAATAATAAACGGGCACAGTATTCCCTCTGTACAGGGTGCGTCACTCAATTGAGGCGGGTTATATCTCAAACTTGCTAAGAGATAAAAGAAGAGATAGAAGAAAAAAAATATTTCATGAAATATCTCACATTTTTGATAAATACTACGTGTACTTATTTTATTAAAGAAGATGTTCAAACGCTTCACCATCTTTTTTGTTTTTCTTTATGTTTGTCATATGAAATATTGGTTTTTTAAACATTGTACTTTAATACTCTTTCACGCAAAATGTTCCGAACAATTAATATGAGTACAAAAATACGCAATTCCATTTTTAAAAAAAGTACACATGCATTTTTCGGATACATTGTTGCACTTAAGAAGAAAGTGAAGTCGTAGAAAAATAGACATTACCATACCGTTCAACTGTTTCTTCTACAGTTTTTTTTTCTATTTTTTACCAATTTTGAGATATAACCCGTTCCACGGTTACCCGTGTAACCGTCCCGTTATACGATATACCCTGTATAATCGTGTTGTTCGGTGTGTGTACGTGACAATTACATATAGAGAGCAATATGACAGTGGTAAAGAGATGATGGGATAGAATGGAATCAAAACCATTAATATTCAATAGGGAAGGGCAATACTATGTATTAAAAGAGGGTCAAGAAATCGCGATTTTAAAGGGGAATACTGTATGTTATTACGGAAGCTTCTAATTCAAATATGGTGCTAGAGAATATATGTATGTGCAATAATGCTTTAAAGAAAGTTCGAAGATGTAGTTCGTTCACTGTACCTTCCAAGTTTGATAATTATTTACAATGACTGGCCCTCTGAATTACTGGTGTAATGAAACATGAAATTTGTATATTTTCTGTATTATTATTAGAAAAGTATTTTTACCTCGTTAACGACATTTTTTTAGATGAAAATCTATTCAACGTAATCGGAATTATTCACTGAGACTGGTGGATAATAAGAATCTAGCATGCTTTCTTGGAAGCACTATTGTTGATTAAAGGAAACTGAAACAGAAAGGAATGTTAAAATATATATTATATCACTTCTGCAATTCTCAAACATCAATCATTATATTCATATTTATCACGACGTGAAACACGTGTGAATCAGAAACATTTAAACGTCATGCCTATAGAAAAATAATCACTTATACTATTTATAAATTATCACTTATGCTATCACAGATTATATTTCTTTCGTTTGTGCCATATAAATATCCTACTTTTTTCGTAACCGTTATTATACTCATTTACTCTTTTGTAAAATATTTGCCATTTTAGGGAGGTGATAACAGTATACAATTTTTCCTACGATATACTAATTATTTATTGTTCAGTTTGACACTAGAATGCAGGAGGCCTAATGAATTTTATCTGTTCATGAATATGTGGAAACATTTGTCATGTTTTTTTTAAACACATTCAAAACTAATTTATTTTCATGTGAGTATACATCCTGAAACTTGTGTGAAAAGGAATTATTGCAGAAATGATGTAAATGTAAATGGGCAAGTAACAATAATTTATTTTGGAAACCTGAAACAAAACATGAGGTAATGTTCACACGCATGTACAGTAAAGCTTCCTTGAACGTTTAAAAATAGATGTTTTTGAAACTTCCCCCAAGAAATTGCCGTACGTCTAAAAATAGATGTCAAGGGGAATCTCCCAATAGTGGGGATGAAGCAGAAACTTTTAAGATGGCAAGTTGGCCGAACGTTTAAGGAGCCATTACTGTACTTGTATCTCCGCCTCGCCTGCTCGTTCGTGTAAATCTCAGTTGTAGTATTTTAGTATACAATTTTAGTAATTTCTTGACATATTTATACTAGCTTCAGAAAGGGAAGGGACATTTTAATGATGCGACATATGGTTTCATGAAATGTGATTTTTAAGATACGCGTGTGCCGACGTATAAGTTAAGCATTGTCTTTTCCATAAATAAACTTCTCATATTGTCATCTGCGTTAGATAAATCGTATCGTTTCATATATTTCAGTTCTTTTGTTCGATATGTTTATCGGAATGATTTATCTGAACGTTAAGATAAACCGTAAAAATGTGGATATTTTGTAACTCAAGAATAAGAATGTACTGTAAAGTTTGAACTGTACACACACACACACACACACACACAAACTTTTTGTGTAATATAGAAAACTTGCCTTTAACTGATATGAATGCACTTGCAAAACTGTTAATGCAATATACAAGAAACATATTAAGCAATCTCTGACACTTTTGAGATTCGTTTTTTTTTTTTAGAAAACTTTCTCAATATCAAATGAAACTTCCCTCGAAAAAAAAAATAGAAAAAAAGGAGAGCTTTCATTTCTCTCCAATCGAAAACTGAAATAATGTGACATACAGGAATAAATGCAGGCATATCATACTGATAATAACTGCCATAACCGATAGTTAAAGGCATAAGGAAAGAGCACGTTCACACCAGGGATGATCACGCATTGAGTAAAACGTAGAGGCATAAAGGTTTTAGCTTTAAAGAATTTACATTAGATCTCGTTTCTGGTTTTTTTTTTATCACTCTTAAGTGAAGTATGTACATGTAACGTCGATTTTAACCGTAGCGTTGGAAAGTAATAACAGGGGAAAAGTTTCAGGTAATTAAGTAATAGTTCTTGTTGAATTTCATAAACCTGAAACGTTTTTCTATGTTCTCGCGTGTAGGCGACGTTGCTGAACACGTATGGAACTTTATACGTTCGTTTTTGATAAAAACACGAACGTGTTTCGTGTATTTTCGAGGATTAATAAGTCTGGTACTCAAGGACGAAATAAATTATTATTTTGAAATATTCAGCTGCAATAGCTATGGTTTTGTTAGTACACTGAATTTAACTTCTGTTCTGTTAATACTATCTTCCTTAATATTAATCGGTGGAACGCGAATGCTGTACATGAAGTTACTGAATTGATATATGATTAATTTAGCAATAATTTATAATTCTAGTGCCTATGTATGTATACATTCGTATTTAAGAGTGCAAAATTATACATATAACACGATGAATATGCGAGACGCGATGTGTGTCTGTATATTTGTAATTGTGCAGTGTATCTCGTGACGATTATTTATATCATTAATAACATTCAGAATATCTAAATGACATTGCAATATCTAGAAAAAATCTAAGTAATAAATGAGACTTTTAGCTTGACAATTATTAATGTACAAAAAAAAAAGAAGAATGTGTGAAGTTATATTACAGAGACTGAGATATGAAAGTTGTTTTAACGTTTGAATATACTAATGATCGAGTGCAATACAAATTGGTTTCACAGGCGAAAAATATATTCTCATCGTTCTTCACTGCGAGATACTCTGTATGCGTATTTCTGTGTAAAAAAAAATTCTATCATATCTGTATGCTTATGTAACATTGTGCTAAAATAATCTTAATTTGTTTTATTTACTATTATTAAACACGTTGACCCGATATATCATAATTGTAAAAGCAATGATCATTCTTGCCAACGCTTAATCTGGAGGAGAAAACACGATTTTCTTTACTAGAAATGGTGTTAACTGTAAATCACTTCATGTGGAAATAACTAATGTATAATGTGTCAAAACGTATCACACCGTAGCTATTAATAAATGAGAGCAAATAAAGCACTGTTAGAAAGTACGGAAACAAAACCTTTATAATATGTTGCTAATACCTTTTCGTATAGTTTGTTAGGACTATGAACAAAAAAATAAAATTTATTTAATCCATCAATTATTTTAAATTATAGAGCAAAACACATTTAATAGTAAGTGAATGATAAACACTCCAATTTACATATTCCTATATCCCTTCTGTTCTCTCAGATATACTTCAAAATCCCGATGTCCGTTGTAAAAAGGACATTGGGGTTTCAGAGACTTCTTGAAGCTTCTACCTGACACGCCGGACGCTACGACCTTTGTCGATCTATTCCGATCATAATTTTAGAGTGTCCGCGAATTAAAAAAATTAATTTTAAAGACGAACGATTAGAGAATATAAACATATTTTTAAAAAAATATAAAAATAAAGCGTGTCTGGCTGAGTAATCGATAAGACGATATTATTCGTATTTTCCCGTTCCAAAAACAACGTCAAACTAAGCATTAAGACTATGTCAAAACTAGTAGACGTAAAACAAAGTAAAAATATTTTTTTAATCCATGCTTTGAACTTAATTTTACTTGTCCAAAACAGAACAAAACTGAGTCAATGAATATTTCTTGCTATACATATGTAAAAGGGGATTCTAAATTTTTTAAAATTCTTTACCTTAGCTCTGACTATGTACAGCAAATCCTCGATGACTGTTCGAAGACTCCGCCGGCCTTGACAAGGAGAAGTGTTGCGGCGACTCCCGATAAGCTCGTGAATTACCACTGGTAAATTATTACCGCGGAGTTCGTTAAAAAGGATGGTGTGATGGTGTGTGGTAATATGTGATTTAAATGACTTTGCACAACTTATAGTAACACACTTAGAATTTAGTGTAAACTTATCAATGTGATATATGTGTATGTGTGTTCTGGTTGACGGTCGAATGTGAACTGGTGAATGAATGAATGTATAGATGCTTGCTGAAACGTATCGACTCGTGATTGGTGGAAAATGTAAAATTTTGGTTGGTGTAAGTGGTTCAAGAGGTGGTAGTATGAGTTGAAAGAAGTAAGGTTTGGTGTATGTATTGTTTCTTGGATTCCTGGAAGTCAGTGCCGAAATATAATAAGGAAGGGTCTTGAGGACCGCAAGTGTTTTGCACGTAATGTGTATATAGCTGTCCAGGAATCCTTGTTTATGTCGATTTGGTGACCGTGTTGACGGACCAAGACACGACACCGCGTTGCGTCCATCGCCTACCTGCGTTGGGTCGCAACAAGAGGTCCCCAAATGTAACGCTGACTTTTTTTTAACGAGGCTTAGCACACTGGTACTTAGATTTTGGAATTCTGAAGACAATCATATTTATTTCAGCCGCGTAAGGCCATTGGTTTATGAAATATTTAATGTTCAGTGCCGATGAACCTTCGAACACTCATCGAGGAGTTACTGTATATTCCCTATTTTTTGTATCTCTTGCTCTTCATAACGATTAACCATTTGCCTTATAACATCGAGTCAGACACATAATGACTGAATTTAATAAACATGGACATTATTCGTTTTCGGTAAGTTGAAGTGAAACACTTTTTCGCTGGTATGAACATTCAAAATTTCGAATAAATATGCACGTGCCATAAGAACAAAATTTTGTTTGTATCTGAGAAATTATTAACAATAAAGTATTCCTGGAGAGTGCAGTCGTTAAAAAAATCGTAAGGCAAGGGGTTAATGCAATATCTGTCATTGTATTGGTTCAGTTAAGCTCCCTACTGTATTTCAATTTCAGCAAAATCCCAGACACGGTTGTACAAACGTGATCCGCTTAACATGAAACGATCCCGTGTAGTAAATTTTTATCTAAAACAGACGTTACGAATGTCGTAGAATTTCTTTGCTAACTACCGTATCGGGGATAACTCTTTTTCCTATTTTCTGAAGTTCGAGGGGATCAAGTATAACGCTGACCAGTTCCCTCCCTCCCTTCAAAACTCCAGTAACGTCTAATTTAGCGAATAACTGGACGTAATCGAGCCTAATGAATTATTCGTCGTCACTGGGGGTTTGCTCGAGCAATTTATCGAAATCCAAAGGGTGAAATGGTCGGTTGGACGCAAGGATGATCGAACGACGCGGAAATCATCGTGTTAGAACGAGGATAGCGGTCGCTGTGGGTGGATGAATTACGGCCATTTCAGAAAAAATCGCAGATTGTTACTCATCGATCTCGACGAAATCGCTCTTACAATTGCAACGATAATGGCCACCCTACCGTTGTATCAAACATACGTCAGCTTCGTGAACCGTTCCCTTCGGATATGCGGATTGTATCCGGACACGATTCATCGTAGCCTCAGCAGTCGAATCATTCCACCTTTTTGGCTACTGTGCTACGGGATTATTCTCTACACCGTGACGACCTGTCTCGTGCAAAATGTCACGGATATGAGCAAGGTTACCGCGGGTCTCAGCGGTATTATCGCGATCGTGAACGCGATCGTAAAGGTGAGTACGTTTTCTCTCGATCCCACGAGAGATTTCACCTTACGGTTACTAGACTGCGGATTTTTATGCGAAATAATATTATCTATAGTAATTGACAAAGACACGGCTTACATTTGAAAACCTCAAACCTCAAATCCCCTATCATCCATCAAGAACTCATCGAATAGGAAAGTGTACAAATATTCTTTCAGGCTTTTCGATTTGTCACGTATCGAGGCGAATTGGAACACGTGAACGGTGTACTCGAAACGGTGTTCGAGGAGTCGTCGGATCGAAAACCGGCGAACTCGCCCGCTTTCCGGCTGATGGGCTCTTTTTATCGTTTGGGCTACTACCAGTACGTCTGCCTGCTGTTCACGTCGTTCGTGTTCGTGGTTAGACCGTTATTGGCGGTGAGGTTTCGTAACGCGAATTATTCGTTACCCGTACCCGGTGTTTATCCGTGGACGATCAACTCGACACCGGTGTACGTTATTCATTATGTGATCGAATCGCACATTTGTTGGTCGTTGTGCGTGGTGACGATCGGCGTGGACGCGTTCTTCACTTTGTGCACGTTCCGTATATCCTCGGTGTTCAAGCTGCTGGCGCTTGAGTTCGAGGAATTGCCGAAACGGCCGATCGACAAGGAGAACCGCGAACTGACGTTACGGACCTGCATCAGGCGACACTCCACGTTGATACACTGTTACGATGTTATTCAAGAGATTTACGGGCCGATCGTGCTGGTGGTCGCGCTAGGGAACGCTTTGAGTATGTGCAGCATGATGTTCGAGGTGTTTCAGGTAAATTCGTGAAACATTGTTGTTTAATTCACAGTGACATCATGTTCTTTTTTTCCTTAATTTGCTGGTAAATTGACAGCGTTATTATCAGCGGTAACGCGTCGGGGACAAACACGGATATAAGGCAAAGTCGCTTTAACTGCGCAAAGGCCTTTACGTTAACTGTCCATGCGTCATCTCCACCACTGAGGGGATCCCCTCTGTAACCAGTCAAGCATATAGAGGTAGGTCTCGATTAATGTGAGTTCAAATAGTGAGGTATTCGATTTAGTGCGAATTATTAACTGATACCAGATTACAGTTAAAGCGAACAAAAATTCAGTTAATGGGAGGTTCGCGAGACTTCTTTGATTCGGCACAACTGTGGAAATAATTAATCCTTTGTTTTAACGGTTTTTAAGCTTTTTCTGTTTCGTAGAGACGATGTGTAAACCGTCTCTGAACTTCATCTGTTACACAGTCACGAAGTGACGTGTCAAACGACGTAATATTTTATGCGTATTTTTTTTAATTACAAGTTAATAAAATACGTATAAAAATGTATATGTAAAATTTTGTATTGTATGTTTTCTTATAGTTAAAACCAATTTCTGTATGGTAATTATTCGAATTAGTGCGAATTCGAATAATGCGATCAATTTCTAGGTTTTATTACTCGCACTAATCGAGATCTACCTGTAATTTATTATTACGCCGGCGACTGCCTCTTCACGAGACAACGGCTGAACAAGGGAGTCCAAAAAAGATTAAACGTCGGCGTGTCAGTCAGACAACACTGATGCAACTTTCGGTTATTTCAATTCTCAACTTCTCTTTCTTTCTCATTCCTTGTTCTTTTCTGTAACCATTGTTAATGACATTACAATTTTTAACGATGTCAGAGTAACGTGAGATCCTTTTGAATCTTCTTTTTCCATTCTTTAAGGTGTTAGCCGAAAGGAAATAAAACAAGTGTTATAGGTTCCTCGGCATTGAACATTAAATATTTCATACACTAACGACTATATGCGGCTGAAACAAATATGATTGGCTTCAGTATTCCAAGCACTATCATTGTGCTAAGCCTCACTAAAAAATCGGCGTTACACCTGGGGTCCTTTCCTTGTCAGTGCCGAGGAGCCTCCGAACACTCATCGAGGATTTACTGTATACTGCTCTGTTACTATGTGTGATTTTCCAGAATTTGCGGGTAGTTCATTTCTCTTTTCATTTCTCGAGTAAAGGTTCCTTTAAAAAATATCGAGTCATATGTTGAATAGCATGTTTTGAGTTCTATTAGGACTCGAATATATTACAATTTGCGTAAATTTACATTTTTGTAGACTTATATAATTTATATAATTTATGCATAATTTCGGTATACATACAAACACAGCAGGGACAGTTAAATTTACAGGCAGTGAAAATGTTTGTCAATGAGATTTAATAATGTCGGTATTATATTGTACATTACAGAAGAAAAAGATGCAGGCACTTATTGCACACAACAGCTATATAACCCTTAGCATGCGAAGGTGAAACGATCGACGTTCTTTACCAAACGAGGTCCCTAAGGGGCCCTATGGTCTTCTTATCGTTATCTTAATACTTTTACATTATTTTTTGTTAGAACCGTGTTTTTATTGAAGTTAATGAAAATACTACTAAAAATCTTAAGTTCTATTTGTTAAAAATGTTTATTCCGTAACGCATATTGATTTAGCGTCTAATTTCTACTCTAAACAAAATCACTCAAAATGCAGTCGGTCACAATTTTCGAGAAATATTTATAAATCATTCGCCCACCTTCGTTTAGACACAAACATCATTCACATAGTGTTATTACTCTAGTACAATCATCATATCAATCCATCGGTTACTCAAAAAAAAAAAAAAAAAAGTAAAAAACTGACATACGGAAACATAACGTACGAAAATCATACAGACCTTTGAGGTTTCTAATTTTGTTCCAAAAATCATTTTAACCGTTTTTTTTTTAAATTTGTTTTAACTTATCAGAATTAATAATAAGATACATAGAAAAATCTCCAGCAATATATTTTTAACAGTTACCGAATGGCATAAAAAAATATGTATTGTGGTCTTTGAGTGACCCCATCTTAGTATTTTAAGGGTTAATTTGTTAATCGGGCAGAAACGAAAAATTGTGACAAGATATAATGGAATATAAATAAAAAAAGAATCGTATTCCCGATTAACGAATTAACAATGTATAATGCTACGATCTCTGCCATCCACATCAACTCTATCTTCTTATAAATTCAGTAATGCCCGCTTAAGTGTCACATCGCCGGATCCAACTCGCGACAGTTATCGAGGCAGGTACATACATGTTCCAGAAATTGCCAGCTGTTTTCTCTCTCGGATTTGCTTGTGTAATGGAGACGAGAGTGAAAAACATTGAGTTGATATGGAATAGAGAAAAAATTTCGAGCAGTTCGGAAGAAGTGCCTCTATATGTTAGCACTTTCAAGAATTTGTCGGGATAACACCGCGGCAGTTAAGCGGACATTATTGTTTTTATTAAATATACTTACTTGAAAAAATACATTTTCATAAGTGTTCTAGTTTTAAAATAAATTTTATGCATTTCTATGCATGATATGCATGCATTTTATGCATGGATGCATAAAACAAAATGCAGTGATAACTTTAATGAAGACTAATTGCAGTTTATGTTTAAGTCAATAATTTCCTTTAGCGAAGGAAATAAATGTTTTGTGTAAAATACCTAAATCAGCATAAATTACCATGATCATAATAATCTAATTGTTCGTTACAACACATATGCTGGATGATACGTCAGGTTTGTTTTCAATTGCCTCTATTATATTTGGTCTTATAGATTGTGCTGTACCTAAAATAACGGAATCTTTTAAAGCTTTTAAATCGTAATCTGATATTATATATCTGTGTGCGTATCCTGTTTTCTTTAATAATGAAAAGAATTTTTCACAAACATATGTGGACCCAAACATAGCCAGTATGCGTGCTGCACAGTTGAATAAGCCTGGAAACCTCCCCTGCGGCAAATTTTTGTAAAATTTGATTATATCTACTCTGTTTGTAAATTCCTGTTTCAACTTTCTGTCACATTTTAAATCTATGAGCTCTAACTGCAAATCAGTTGGTACTACTTCTATGTTCACGTTAAAAGGCGTAGTCACAGCATTAAAATCTTTCTCCAAAGTAGAAATTTCAGCAAATCTCAGTGAGAACTCTTCGCTGAGATTTTTCAAAACAGTGACATATCTAGGAATATTAATCTTTTGAGGGGCGGCTGATGCTAATTTACTAAAATGGTATACGTTTCCAGATTGCATCTGTTCTGTCCACAATGTTAATTTCATTTTAAAAGATGCCATTACATCATGCAATTCTATAATTGTTTTTCCTTCTTCTTGCAACAACACGTTTAGAACATTCACATGTTCAAGAATGTCGCACACGAAGCTCAAGTCGAGAATCCATTCGGCATTTTGTAGTTCAGGTACTATGTAACCTCTGTGAGTCATAAATGAGTTAATATCCGAGCGGTGATTGTAAAATTTCTCTAATGTTTTTCCACGGCCGAGTGTGGCAACGTCAATGTGATACGGTAGCTCACCGTATTCAGTCTCCAAGTCCTTTAAAAATAATCTGAATTGCCAATACTTAACTCCGTGCGTCCGTATAAAATTTATTGAATTTACAACGACAGACATGACATGATCGAACTGAATACATTTGACGCATAAAGTTTCTGGATGGATGATAGTGTGTACAGCAATTACTTCTTGCGGAACTGCTAGATTTCGTAGTTTCGATCGTAGACAATTAACAAATCCATTGTTCGCGTCTACCATAGCAGGCCCTCCGTCGGTTGCGACTGAAACAAGCTTGCACCAATCTAGACCGTTTTGTTCGATTGCCTCCTCCACGCAGGAAACTATATCTTCTCCTCTCGTCGATTCTCCCGGAGGGAAAATTTCTAATAATTCTTCTGTGATCGTAAATTTCTCATCGACACCACGAATAAAAACGACTAACTGTGGTCCACCTAATATGTCAGTCGTTTGATCAAGGGCTAAAGAGAACGCAATAAATTTTTTGGTAATGGCGTTTAACTTCAACATCACGTTATTGGCCATTTCGCGGATGCAGTTCTGCATTTTTTCGCTGGAAACGTCGACTTCCAATACTTTGGTGATCTCCTCCGGCCAAAGTTGTTGGGCCGTCGCCAAAAGACACTTCCTAATAGTTTCACCATCTGAAAACGACCGACCAGTCTTCGCAATTTCTAACGCTATGTTGTAGCTTGCTCGAATTGCTGGATCATTATTACGAATTAACTGCTCCTACAATGAAATTAACAGTTTAACGTATTAATTTCGTAAAACTATTTTATCCGCAAGTTGATAGGATGAATATAATTTTGCTTCTTCAATAAACGTCATTTTATTTTGACGCAAACATAATGCAAAATAAAAAAAGTGATAAGTGACTAAAATTATTCACGTTATTCATTCGATTATTTATTAATTATTTGATGATTTTATTCTTGTAACATTCGAATTTTATATCCCGCCATCTTCAGATATCGATCGATTAACTATTCGCCGACAGTTACGTTTGCTGCCTGTTACTTAAAATTACGGAATCGCGAAAACAATTGAAATGATTAAAAACACTTCCATGATTCACTGTTTCACATTTGCATTCCGCATTTTACAATATACTTTATATTAACATATTATTTAATTATAGATAACTCTTTTATCCTGCTTTTTCACCGTCGCAGAAAATATTTTTTAATTCGAATTAACAACGATTTAGTAATAACAGCAATAATTAATTTTAATTAAATATGCTTCAACGGGGGTATTACAACATATTCATTATAAGTCTTACCTCTTCACGCAAGGCTGCTTCCGCCTGCCCCAATTTAGCTTTCAATCTTTCCACCTCTTCAGCTCGCTCCTCGGGTGAATATCCTTCGTAGTCCTTTGCGTGATACCTTATGTAATGTCGTCGCAGATTGTACTTTTTCAAATGCATAAACCCTTTGAGGCAGACAAGACACTTTACTGCTCCTTCGCGTCCAGTGAACATATACGCTTCTTCCCACGCGGGTTTAAAATAATAAATAACAGGATTCGAAGATTGTTGGGGCGGCATCGATTTTACAGATATTAATGGCTGAGCCATGACTGCGGAAAGAACGCGTCGAAACGAACGAAGCTATTATCAGTGTTTGACTTTTCGTATCATTTCTATGTTTAAATACACTTACCGAAGAATTATTCCGCCGGATCGTTTCAAACTTTTAATGAACCTGATAATAATGCCGCATTCGTTAACATGGAAGCAAACTGGTTGTGTTTTGAGGTTATACCGACCCCTCGGGGCAGAGTCGGGGAACGCTTGCTCTCAAGAGCGGGTTTTGCTCCGTTCCGACAGATAGCCAGACGGAGAGCGCGAAATCACGCCTCCGGAGCAATTGCTCAGTGGTGGGGTAGCGCATGCATGAGAGGGGGGAAATGTGTGAGAGCAGAGCCCGCGCCGCTCGCAGCTAGCGGCAGCTAGCGGCATGATTCGAAATTACGTTTACGCCTGCGCGTACCGTTCAAACGAGTTAAAAAAACGTTTACGATACAGATGCTTGTCAGTCAAATGTTCAAAAGAATTACACCTATTTTCAATATAAATTGTAAAAATGTCACTAATTAAACAACAGACTTAGAGCACGGTATAAGAAATATAAGATTAATTTCTAGAGAATGCAATTTTGTTTCTCTTAGTATATCAGTGAAGACGCGTCAGATTATCTCGATTTCCCCTGACTAGACGTTGTCCATTAAAAATTGTCTGTTGTAAGGTTTTGAATTAATATCATAAACGAGAGATAAGAATAAACCTAACCACAAAATGCATTTTTGTGGTACGATTTTCTAGACTTCATTATCGTTTGAGTGTCAATACCGACGGTACCGAATGAGCGCGATTCTGGGTGTATATTAGCACGAATCGGGCATTATATGCTTCGTTCATATTACGGTGTCTCAATTGTACGTACATACATAATATGATTTGGCGAGAATAAACATACATATATAAACAACCTATTTCGAAAATTTCATCCAATTCGGAGCATGGTGGTTTTCGGAAGTATAGCCAAAATGTAATAAAAAGGACATGAAAACGTATTAAGAATCGTGTAAAAACTTACATTACTTTTATAGATAACTGAAAATATGTCATTGTTCATAAGTAACTTTATACCGAAGCATCGCATATTTTTGCTCCCGTCAAATCATATTAAAGACACGTAACACGAACGAGATATATAATAAATCATTTATGCTAATAATACCCACAATTCATCTAGTATCGGTAACGTTGGGTAGTGACAATTCAACGGTGTTGGGGCTCTTCGGCCCCAAAAACGGGAGTGATGTGATCCCAGAAAAGTGGGTGGATGAAATACGTGGATGAAAGGTCTACTCCTATATCGATACCACGTCTGTGGTACCGATTTCCGAAAATGGTCACCCTTTCTACCTAGTGTGTGGTGATACGAACAGAGTACATACCGAACAAGTGATTTTTGTTGTTTGCAGCTAGCCAATAAACAAGCCAGCAATCAGTTGAATCAGTTGAGGAAAATAAACAAGCTCGCACCCAATTAGCACATATTAATTATCGTGCAATTAATAATTGCATGATAAATAATAATGATTTCCCAGGTCTCACCATATGGAGGTTGCTGCGAATAAAGATCCGCCCCCATCGCACCTATATCACCTACCCTTTGTGCAACATTTTCCCAACGAAATTAATTTTTACATTAAGAGAACTCTTTATATGTACTTCATATGACGAGAAATATACATATGATCTTCATACTCGGTAATTAGTTTAATCTAGAATATTTCTAAAATCGTTTGTGCTTAGAATTTTGTTGCCTTGCCAATTTTTACCACGGATTTGTCTGCGTCGGATGATGACCTAAAAGAATTATTTATGTATATGTCTGGCTAATCCTTGAACTTCACTGAACGCAATTCCGGTAATTGTTTTTCGGTTGTTTTAATGTCAAACGATTTTGTTCTCTCTGTTATAGTCAAAAGAATTCACGGTTGGAAAAATCATCGCGACTGTGATTTATCTTTTCGGGAAGCTAATCCAGACTTTCATCTACGCCTGGCCCGGAGAGGTGGTCGCTACTGAGGTTTGTATCGCGTTTAGTTCTCGTATGTAACAGTATTTTCGACAGAAGAGGATGCACATAACGTAGTCCTAAAATGAGCTAAGGTATTCATGTTTCCAACGCCGGAACAAAATAGTTGACAAGAATATTCCACAAATTATTTTACATTCTTGCAGAGCGATGCGTTTCGCTGCGAGGTTTACTGTAACGACTGGTACGAGCATATAGACGATCCCTCTGCAAAATTCTTCCTCATGATACTAAAGCAGAAACCAATAGTCATCAGGGCGTGTAGTATATTGGAGGTTTCTTTGGATCTTTTCGCCAAGGTAAAACAAACTCGTAACAGTGATTTCCGCCTTTCGATGCTATACTGAAAACCGTATACTTTCAGATTATAAATAGAACGATATCCTATTACTTTTTGCTGGTAACGCTTGACGATGGTTCATAATAAAGGAAACAAGGAATCGAATAGTTCAGCAACGTTTTCTACACTGTTCAACATTGTTGTAAATGAAAGTGAAAAATAACACGGGTTACGAATCTGTAACAGTGTCGATTTGTTTTTTGAAAACGAAAGTCGAACTAGTCTTGAAAAATAGCGGAAAGTAGTGCCCCTAAATACTTTTTGTCTTTTTAGCAATAACAGTAGACTATTATATTTGGATTCGCGATATGTCTTATTGTCAGAGATCGACAACGTTCGATTGACTCGATGATGGACAGTTGCCCGTTGTGAACGATTATGATACACGTCATGCAGTATTCTGGGATTTCACTTCCGGTACACTGTGGCTGCTGTATTCGTGACGAAATACATATAGACAATCCCAGTGATTTTATACTTAATATTTGGTAGAATTATTAAGAATCATTGTTGGTTTGCCTTCTTGTTTTACTGTTATCAAACGCTCTGTACATTACAAAATAAACTATTTGAAATATATTATCCTTTACAATACACCTTACACCCACAGTATAGCTTTCTTATTTTATGTTTGTATGTTTATATTCAATATAGAACACTTTTCAAACAATTGGACATAAGTCCAGAATTATTAAAAATGTACGTGATTTCTTTTTACGAAACGAAAGTTGAAATATATGTTGATGATTATGAAACCGACCTAAGAGATTTGTACAAATCGAATGTGTTAATTATTTTGTATTAATTTTAGTGTGTATTTCATACCACTAAATTTTTCAACCCTGTTTCTAAACCATCTTAAGACCTTTTCAACTAAAAAATATTATATCCAATATTTTCTGAATAAATAAAAAACGCAAACAAATAACTCGGGATTAATACTTTACAATTTACATGTAATGTTAATACTGTATAAGAATTGTAACTTGAACGAATGTGTCGACGGATGAAAATGAAGTATAAATTAATTTTGTATCATCTAAATATTGTAATCAGTAATCACGCTCTATTCATCAGAACGTGAATTTTGCAACCTAAAAATTTGTTATACTTGTGAAAAACAGTAAATAATTTATAAAACCTTCCACAATTCGAAAGCACAGCAGGTGCAATATCCAACTAGATTCAACAGTATAAAAGATAATAAACTACTTAAATAAATGTTTGGTAACTTTTATTGACTATTCAGGTGTCAAGTCTCGATTTCAAAACTGCATTGGATTTATCACAAGAAAACCAGTAATTGTACAAGAATTTGGTTAAAATACGGTGATGCAACCAACTCTGAAAACTGATGAAAGCGTTATACAGTTTTAAAAATGAAAACTCAAAATTATTAGGTATTTATAAATTACTCTGTTTCATACGAAACACTTTTCCTATGATCAACATATTTTTTTTCAGTATGAAATATACTGTTAATAAATGATTCATAATTTCATACACAACACTTCATAGCTTTTCAATATAATTCGATGGAAAGAGTCCCGTCTTTCCTTTCAATCTTCCGTGCCACCAGCCGCCTTCGTCTATAGTAAATAACAACAATTTTAAACCACAAACCTATCATAGGCAATTTCATTTTAAAGTCTTAAGAAATCCTACTAGACCTTAATTCGATTGAATTTATCATAAATAAAGATTCTAAATTTCACTCAGTGCAAGTAGAGTAGATGTGGAGATACCAGAGTTGGACACAATTTAAGTCCAATAGCATATAGTGACAAATAATTAGCAAGGTTTAAGGTAATTATGATACCGAAGAAACTCACGTTCTTTGAGTATTTCAAGAATGTCGCCTTCCTTGAGCTCCAATTCGTCAAGATCCTGCGCATTGTAGTCGTACAAAGCTTTCGCTTTGGGTAAACTAGGAACAACAGGTTTTTCCGAATGTTTCGGTTTCGGGGTAGCGCGAGGAGCGTTCGTTCGTTGCGGTTTCTCTAATACTGATTTGGTATTCCACTCCTTCACTGTTTGCATTTCCTTGTTGCACCCTGTACTTTTGTTGTTAGTACTGATTGCGAGGAGATTGTATCCCGACGTCATAGTTGGCGTATTCGGTGGCGGTGGTTCTGACGGCGGCGGGGGAAACTTCAAGAAACCTAATCAATCATATGTTTCATTTAACGATTGGCTATTCCTTCTAGGTGATATATTAATGTTCTTAATCTATACTACAAAATCAGCAAATATTATATCATCTCCACTGAATTAACACTAGATTATTTTTCTTATTATTAGACTTAACGAATTGCAGGCCCGTGGCTCAAATATTTCACTTACTGTCTTTTACTCATTTCATGGATAATCGACGTTGACATTAGACTGTGTATAATTTTTATTAACAACCTACAGCGTAATGTACTGTTACTGCTAGCAGTTAAAAAGTGTTCGATAAATATCGATATTGAGCGTGAGAGGAGCTACAATTTCGTCATTTTGCAGTGTTTTTTATTTTTTACTATCAGGATATTGAACCAAAAAATCGGAACAAATTCTCTAACACGTGCTCCTGGTAACTACCACATATCATAATTCTTTCAGAATTTTTGCATACCATTGAATAGGTAAAATAGAAGAAAAACGGAATTAGAAATTTTCTTTTTTTTGGTAAGCTATCGAATGGTTCATCGCCAGTCCAATTCGGTGTAATGGCATTTTTGACCCTCTTATTTGGCTATACCGTTTCTCAATAAAATTACATTACGCGAGTCAGAACAGATTGACTCATACAATCTGTTTTAATTCGTTCCACTCGTGTATTACATTAACACAACGGTTAACCCTTTCGCTACGGCGGAACTGGCAGCCAGTATGCTGCCACTGTATGGGACAATTGAGTCGGGAGAGTACACTTTCCCGTAAACAGTGTAACATCTACTCTAATTAATGCACTTAATTAAATTTAAGTACATTCTTAACTACTGTGAAACTTTTACGGGTGACTATAGACATCTTTAGGATATATCTTCAGAATTTGACTTACCTCGCGCTGTTCCTTTGGGATTGGTAAACATACCCATAAGTGGTATGTTATTCTCTAATTTATTCGGTTGTTTCACCGGTTGGTTTTTTGGTTTTGCCTCTGTACTAGATGGCAAGAGCAAACGATTCAGCGGCGTTGGCCTCGAAGCTTTAGGTATTTGCAAAGTAGGCCTTTCGGTTGGTACAATTGGCTTTGAAGGTACAGTGTGATCGTTATTAACGGTCTTTGGAAAATTCTGAATTTGTTCTGTGTTTACAGTTCTTTGAGCCGGACGCGTTGGTCTGTTTGCGGATGCTTGTGGAGCGGACTGCGAAAACGGTTGAATATATTTTGACATACCGTGCTGTCGACTCGTAGGCGCCATTGCTGACTTGTTGATATTTGGCTCTGAAACAATGGTATAAACATATCGATTATTCAACACAGTTCAAAATTAATAGTCAACATCACGAAGTGATGAACTCGAAAGACAGATAGTTTCAAGAAAGTTAAAACAAGTGATATTGTTATTAACCCTCATCCGTATCTTGTGTGAATTCGACACATTTTTCATCCAAGAAATGATATTATTCTGTCATGTGTAGGTAAATTTAGCAGAGACTTCGTGACTGTTATTTTAAAAAATTTTAACTGTTTATCTCTTCATCATATTAATTTTTTGTGATTCTATTAATTCAACACTGAGGGATGAATTAAGTTGGTAATAATGAGGAACAGATAAGGGTTAAAGAGCTTATTTCGCTGTTACAGGTAAGTTTAAGTAAGATGTCTTTTAATATTTTGAACGAACAAGAAACTAAATAAAATTTGTAAAATTGTTGCGCAGATAATGCGATGGCGATTCTAAATAGATACGTTAGAGAAATGAAAGTAAAAGTAGGTTTTATTGATACCGTACTTGTAGTAGACGGTAATCCAGGTCCGATCCAAACATTTAAGATTTTTCCATTCGGTTTTAAAATCTCTTTATCGCCGTAATCCATCTGCGTAAATATCACTTGCCTCGTTCCTCCACCTCCCCAACCTTCTTTCTTCACTTTAAATTCTAAACTATAAAAATTGCATTAATATAATTTAAGTTAATCATCGAGTCGTTATGTATTAGATATCCGTGTAAGGATAATCTTACTTGTTACTAAATTTTCGGTTCAAAACGTGGCCAGTTTCTTCTACGTATCTTTTACTAAGAGCAATTAAAAATTCTGTTTTAAATATCAACTCTAACAAACTGGCGTAATCTTCTTTCGTATGTACAATGAGGAAATCATCCTGAGATAATTGACAAAACATTAATAACATTTCTTCCGAAGAATAGTAGAAACAATGGTAATCATCATTATTTACTCACCTGGAGAGTACTTAACGACACGTGACTAATTTGATTGAATACAAGTTTTCGTTTTATGACCGCCACCAATTTTCCTTTTTCGGGGCCTTTTTTGATTTTTTCTCGACCGATTAGGTACAGACATTTGTTCGTAAGAATAAGATCCCTTCTGCTCATCTGTAATTCGTATTTTACTGCTGTTAATACAATAACTACAAGCTGTTGAAAATTTTAATTCTACACTTTGGTCTTAAAATCGCATCACTGTCTCACTTGGACCCCAATTTCTTATACATTCGGTAAAATAATAATTTCAAGGAATATACCTTGAATCTTCTGTCGTATTTTTTTACCACTTCCGCGAAGCAGATTTTTTCCCTTCTTCCGATTAAATTCATTAATTCCGATTTGCCTTCTAAACCAATATAATCGCCCATAAAGTTTCTATTCAAACTGGCCCGTCTTCGTTCTTTATGGCCGAAAAGTAAATCGGCCGCTTCTTGTTTCTGTTGGGCCTGTCTCTTTCGAGCGAAATACTTTTTAAACGCTTTTTGAATTACTCTAGCGTACATATTGTACTTTCGATCTCTTGCCTCCTCCAGCATAAATAGCTGCGCGCAAAAAAACACATAATTTAATTAAACGTAAAAATGTGTTATATACGTATTTTCTCAGAATTGTTTAGTCTGGCAATATCTTTAATATCTATACGTTTTTTAACACTAGAACTACCAGCATTGAGTGTACACTAAAATACATTATATAATATAACAATATATAGAATATACACATAAGATCTAGCATAATGTATCATGAAATAAAATCTGTATTCAATTAAAAGCCAACATAAGTTCCGTCAAAAACACCATGGTAATTACAGTAATGGTAAAATAATAAATCTGTACTTCGTCATTTTGGCGAGTTTGGTAGTTCTAGTGTTAAAGACTGGTAATACTCCGTGTTTGTAGCTTTAATATACCTTGAATAGAGGAATTAAGTTCTAACATAAACTCTGTCAGATTTATGAGATGTATAGTTAAATTCACAGAACATTTTTATTTTTCCCTTATTACGAAAAAATGTTCTTTAATCGATGATAGGTTTTGTTACACTTACACATTCAGGAAGCTTTATAAATAATTTCGTTTTTCCCAGTTGATATTGCGATCGATCAATGTGAAGACTACCTAATATCCATTCCACCCCCTGTTTGTCGTCTCCGGACCAGCGTGGCCATGTCTGCTTTGTCAAAATTGCGTATCTATGCAAAAATTTGGAAAATGGTCTTCTGTATGCAAAACCGGCTCTACGTACTCTGATATTTTCTTTCAAACCCAAATATTCCACCTAAATAACACAACACATAATAAACATAGTCACGTGAAATATACAATTCACGTTCGTGTGAAAGGCCTGGAAATTTTTCGAATATACTATGTACAATGTATATTTCAATGATCGATTGTATTCGTTGGTTATAACGTATAACTAACAATTATCACTTGAATATTCCTACGTAAGCTTATCTTAGGTACTCTATGTTTAATTGGAGAAATGAATAACTTTGTGAACACCCGAGTAAAATTATATTTCATATCAGGTGCATCGTAATTCATTGCATAATCAAAAAGGGGTCAACTATTTTATTATTTATTCCACAAAAATGTCGAAAAAATTCGAAATGAATTTTTATTGTAGGAACCTTTATTTTTTCAGACATTCGATTTTCAAAATCCGTCCGTCACACGAGTACCAAACTACCAATTAATAATACTTGTAACAATTATTGACTACACTTATGTTTATGTTCGTAAATATGAACTATGCTGTAGTATTATTATTTCTTCGTAATAATTAGGTATAAATTGCTGAAATATGGACTAGTAATATCGATAGAATATATTCAACAGTGACTAGACAAATTAGATAGACGTATTCAAAGGTACACGCGTTTACGAATGTTCGAAATAGTATTGTTTCGAAATACAGACGTTTACGTAAAAGAATTTTACACAAAATTTTCGATTTGCTTTTATATGTAGAATCACCTCTTTTGTTCGATCGTGCTATGACTTGCGATTAGAACTGTGTATATATGTTAACAGAACAAGATTTCACAGAATTCGTACCTGATGTTTTACTCTAACCGCATCCCAATCTCTAGGCTTCTTTGTTTCATTCGGTTTGATGCATCTAATATAATGCGGTGTGCATCTCATCAGCTGACCGACTAGCTGACTGGCTTGACTTCGTATTTTATTACCAGCGGTAGTTGGTCTGGACTTAAGCGTTTTTGTTCTTTGTATTTGAGTCTCTTGTGGATACAATTTGCGAATCAGAGAACTATAATAATAGATAGTCGAGATTCTATGAAATTTGGTCGAATAAAAACACTTACGGAAAAAGAACGACACTTTTTTTAGGGTAGTAAAATTTTAAAGATAAATATTCAGATGAACTATTACTATTAATTTTCTAAATGTTTTAGTTCTGAATGACATTGTCAAGTAGGTATATCCATTAACACATAATGAACGCGGTAATATTAAATAAATTTTTATATCGCAACAGAAAGTTTTAAAATGCTTTAGATGACTCTAACTTAATAATAAACAACAATTAGGAGGTAGCTATTAGGTCTATGCAAAAGTACTGACTCTTTTATTATAGAAAATCTTTATTAATATTATATAATAGTTCAGTGTCTATTACTTGAAATAATTCCCTTTACATGCTATAACTTTTCGTCATTTTTGTGATAAAAGTTGCATCTCCCATTTATAAAATGAAAGAAAAGTTCAATACCAATGCATAAGCCACGGCCACTACTTTTGCATACACCTGATATTTATATTCATGTAAATACTGTGCACAAATTTCAATAGAGTGATTTAACTTACTTCGTGCTCGATTGCATTAATTCCACCACGTCTAGAAACAGTACATCTCGGTTTTTATCACAAAATCCGTCTACCGAATAGGAAACCACACCAGCATAATGGAAAATAGCGAATCCGTCGCTTGTGTTTTGAAAGTGTTCGTGCTTATTAGCTGCAACCGTAAGTTTCTGTAAACATTACTGTAATTAATGAAATTGCAAATAGAAATATGTATTAGGTTATTACCGATAAGTAATCTACTATTACTTGATGAAATCAGTATCAGTTTCTATGGAACCCAAGAATCTATACAGCTTTATTTATATTCATAATGGCTTCCCAATAACCCGCACTATTTTTACTCAATGAATAGTCGAATTAATAGTTTTCAGTTATAATATATAATCTCACAATAAAAAAATTGGTGGATTACTTATTGCTATATAGGTGTACCAATAATAGAATCACTATGTTTTGTGAAATTTACTACTTATTTTTCAAGAAATCAAAAGCCTGTTCGATGATATTCGTCTGGTAACTCGAATGACCGTCGCCATTTTGAAAAAAGGAAAGAGTAGTTATGTGTTTTCAAATTAAACTATGCCATCAGTTTATTTTCATGAAGGTGGACTACTTATTGATACACCTAATAGAAAAGAATATACATATAGTTTTTATATTATACTAATTCGGTATTGATAACGACCATGTACAATTAATATAATGTGAGAAAAGTGCCCGAACATAAATTCAAATAGCAATTTTGCCTTCTTTTTAGCGATGAGTGAAATTGTTCAGTTACATGTTAAATTAAAAACTACAGATTGGGTTTACCTTCTGCAAATCTGTGTCCGCCCCAGTGCTACCACCGTGAAGGGTAGCACACACGTCATCGAGCACCAGGAAAAGTCCTGGCGGACGCTTCCCTTCGAGGAGCTCAACCACAATCGCATTATTGAAGTATTCTATCGGTGTCCATTTTATACTTTCCGCCACGTACTCCTCCTAAAACCAATATTGCACTTCGTTGTTCATAGAGTAATCAATAATTCAAAGCTATAGTAATCTTAAGCATCGTACATCATTTTAAAATTAAATGAAATCTTCTCTAATAAAATTCTTCATCTTTTTTTGTTTTCAATTCCATTATTTGTTAGTTTATCGTTAATTACGCATTTCTTTCTACAAACTAGTAACTTCCTCTATATTCTTGTAAATATTTTCATAAATTATTTCTTTTTTTCATGCTTACTTTTTTAATTCTTTATATAGTCTTGTAGAACTTTTGTTAAATTTTGTTTAACTTTCTGTATATTTACTAAAAGTTTTTGTAAATTCTAGTATATCTTTGCGCATTATTGTATATCTACACTTTCTGTTTGTTCCCTAGACTGCCATATATTTGTATATCGTATCAAAGGGCTCATAAGCAGTTTATAAATAAATATATTATTATCAAATTCAATCGACGCAAAGTTTCACTTCAAGACCTATCGAACATCGACGACCCTTCGGTGACCCACCGATTAATTAACTTACGTCATGAAATTCGAATTTTTCGTATTTCTATTTAATTGCATTCTGTACATTCAGGTATTCGATAAATGAATAAAAATTCCGCAATCGAGTGTTATTAAAGTTCGGAAAAATCGGAAAAATTCCATTTTCGATGATAAATGTCGCATCGAATTCTTTCACATGGATCCCACGATGTTTATCGCTTTCGTACGGGTAATCTACGCGAGGAATTAGCGCATCATATCGCAACTATTATGTAAACGTTGGAAAACGCGCATAATTGCGTGCCACCGAGAGTCCATCGCTCACGCGGAAACAATTTATATATCGCCGCGGTAGAAAGGAAAGGCGTAATAACGCGATCCTTAGCCACTTTTAAAATGGCTTTCCATTTTAGGCGGCCGAAACTGTTTAGAAACCGGTTGATGTTACTCAAACCACGAATAAGGCACATCACCGTTTGTTACGGTCATGCGAGTGCAACAACTGACTCATAAAACGTGTGAAAAACTATACTCGCGATGGGAACGTTATTGTCCTACGAAAAAAAAAAAATCGGAGGATTTTCACTGTAATCGCCTTTTATAGAATTACTTCACAATGCAACGGGAAAATACCTTCAGTTACCTTTTCAAGTAGATATTCTTACAAAAGAAGTTATCCAGATGTAAAGTTAGTTTTGAAACAATAATGGTTGGAAGTTACAGGACTTTACCTTTTAAGAACTTAAATAAGTAAAACAAATAAATAACTATTTCAACATTTGATCCAGATGAAGAAACAAAGAAACCGACCTAAATAAAACCGTGTAAAATTGTAACGTCAAAGTTCGTTATAAGCAGCTGTGTAAATGGATATAAATGATTTTTCGTTTCCTTGTTAATGTCTATTCGATTGACAAGTTAAAAGGTGCGATTTATGCTAGAAATGATTCAATACATTTCTGAAATTTTAGCTAATACTATTGCTTTTGGTCATTTATAAGGTACTCAATTTTATACAAACTATTAGCTTCATACGATTTTCATATAAAAGAATGACATTAAGTACAATCTCTTCCAGAGTTTCCTATAATTTTTTCTGTTATGATTGCTTCCACAATGGTGGGAATAACACCATTACTCGTGTCGCATTCATCGAGAAATCACTGTAGTAGATGTCTCATTGGAGGGAAACGAGCATCATTAAGTGTTCATAACACTATAATTCAACGCCTTGGTACACTTCGCATGTGTACAAAAAAAAAACATTCGCGTTGCGTTTTCCCTGAAATGTTTTGAAAAGGCGATAAAGAGGCTTTGTTATCTGTTCATTCTGCGTTTGTTCTCGTCGCACGGGTTTCTTTTCGTCGCATTCGACGATATATATGTATATATATGTACATATATATATCTTTGTTCGGATCTCCCACGATCCACATCGTGAAAAGTCTCCACGGTTCCGCTCCGAATGGTGGCTAAGACGATCGGGTCGCGACAAAACGCGGCTTCGAAGCCGGCGGGGCAATTTCGGTCGGGTCTCCGTAGCTCTCTAGCGCGTTTTTTTTGCCCGGTCTAGTTGCGGCGAGCATCGAGAGGTGACGGCAAAAGTGGTACGATTCTTTTCGTCTTAGCCCGTGCTCGAGGTAACGATTCTATTTCACGTTACTGGCGCGACCTCGTTCGCTTGGACCCGTTAAAGGCATGAAACCCGGCTTTCCCGCGGTTCCTGTGTTCCTTCGAGAAACAAACACGGGACAACTGCGACACGAAACTGTCGGTATGCACAAATTTTTGGGGATTCGTGTGTGGCAGAGGGTTGAAGATAACGGTTTTCTACTGATGTGGAAAACAGAATTGCCTGGATCGTATTTATGCAAATTCCAACTAATTCTGTAATGTCATTGACTTCTTCTGTAACACTGTTTCTGCATTTAAGGGGTTTCTGCATATATGATACTTGTATGTTGTACCAAAGGATTCATACAACTCGTTTATAAAGAAATATCATTATTATTATTATTATTATTATTATTATTGTTAAGTTAATTGACCATGGTGAAGAGTATACATAGTGTAGTAACTGTTTCAAGAAAGATGACTTTTTTATCAGACTTGAAGATATCGGAAGATTAAGATACAGTTGGATTCTAAGACATTATGGATATCAAAGATCGTGTTTTTTACTGTTTGATTAAGTGGAACGTCTGCGGTGAAGATCAAGTACAGTAACTGTTTCAAGGAAGATGTCTATTCCATTGTACTCGAAGACGTTAGAAAAATAAGTAACAGTAGGGATGTTTCAAAGTCATTTAGTGTAATAGTAGTTCACTGATTCTTCCTTCCAACTGTTTATTAGGATGAAGTAGAACTCTCGATTTATATGAAACACTCGAAAATCAATACGGTTCAGATAACTGGATCATTCATATTCTGTTTGTCCTTTCGAATATAATTGGAGTTGGTATTTATATAACCAGATTTAATTTTATCTCTTCGTATATAATGTATGTACATACGACTTTTTTCCTGGCATGTTGGGGTGTTTCTGTACCTATATTAACAAGGCTGAATTAATAGTATATGCTGTATACAGATAACAGATCCTTTGATCAAGAAGACTTAAAAAATGATTTCGATCGTACGGAAGCGAACAGCTCTCGGTTTGACACAAAACAAATTTATAGGGGAAATTTTGTGGAGAAACATTTCTACATTTACAAACGAAAAAAACAACAGATCTGCATTTACTGCACACGAGACAATTACTGCTCATATAACACCATTCTTCAATTGTTTTACCCTTCCTCGCAACGATACGTTAAACTAGGCAGAACAAGCATTGTGCAAGCCGACCTCTAAATTTCCTACTATATTTATTTTTGCGCTTTCATCCATTCTAATAAGATTTCTAGTGCACTTTGAACGTCAATGTTCGGTATTAAAACACATTCTTCATCGAAGTAACTTCCTTTCGCTTTCCAATTCAGAAACGTTATTGTTCACGTATTTGCACACAAATTCTGAATCATGCCAGGCGCATGAAAATTACGACGTCAGATGGAAATAATATTCATGAACATTGTAATAAGGAGACTGGAATAATTCTATATGAATACGCTCTAATAATTATTTTATGGGACAACTGTATTATAACATCCGGCCTTCTTTAAGCCCGAATGCAATATTTTTCTATTATTCTATTAAATCTTTTCTCACGGTCTTTCTTACATTCAGGACTTTTGTGCTCGTTTCGTCTTTGGACGAAGCATCAAAGAACTGTATTATTGACCCCACTGTCGTGGAAGTGTCACAGGTTTTGCTGTTCCTTCCAGGCACGTCCGCCATTACCATTCTTAGCTGACCCGTACTATAAATGCATTTATTTTAGGTCGTTGCCCAGGAAATAACTGATTTTGATGATAGCTATATTTGACGTTATTTTTATGAATGGAAACTATTAACCTAGCCCTTTTTCTCGTATTGTGAAATTACACAGTGTAGAGCTCTGAACTCATTGCCATTTTACTCCCCAACAGCCCTGAATATGGCAATATAGTTATGTAGTCTACTGTACTAATCTACTAAAATTTAACCTAAAAATTAATATACTATTCTATTTGTACAATTAAGAGAAATATCTTTATTAAAGTAATTTTCATCAAAAGTATTACATAATATGTATTAAATAATGCTTTCTTCGTTATCACCACTAAGCACCATTAACCGAGGGCGTTTTCTTTTTAACAAGATATCCTCATCCTCCGAACTTTCTTCAGCATTACCTTAAATTCTATGCTGCAATTTTTGCAAAAAAACTGTTATTTTAGATTGCTTGCTTTTAGTTGAGAGATCTTAATAATTTTCGTTATATAGTGCTAAGGATTTGTGTTGTTCGGGGTTTTCTTTAATTCTCAAACCGTGTTAGAGTGAAACCGTGTTCTAGGCTGCCATGTTATACGAGGTTTACCTATACGGTGAATTGAAACTATTGTTTTATTTCACAGTGTCAACATTAGTATTCTGTAGTCTGGATACTAGAATGTAAGCGTCACAAGTGTTAAATGTTTCTTATTGGATGAAATTCGTATTATAAATTTTTCGCCCGGTTTTTGCTCCAATTAAACTTCGTGTACGCTTGCGAGTGGTTTTTATGCACGGTTAACGCTTAATTGCGTCTACGCATACGAGTTAATTAGGTCAAAAGGCTGAGAGGTCTATGGGAAACTCGGTTCTATGGTTATGAAACAAGAGAATATAAGGAAGAAAGATAATGTGGCAGATAAGCTTGCATTCTGGGTTAACTGCGGTGAAAATTTTCAGACAATCTGTCTTCTAATAATATCTCTCAATAAGCGGTCGGTCTTGGTGATGTGATTTATGTGTCCTGGTCCGGTGATATCATAGAGCAAAGATATAGATCGTGTATTTGTGTGTATAATAGCTAAGGAAACATCAATGCTTCATTCACATCGTTTAAAATATTGTAATGTTATACTTTTTTAACGA